TCCTCTCCTCTCCTCTCCTCTCCTCTCCTCTCCTCTCTGCTCCCGTTTTCTTCTCAGTTCCTTTCTCATACACTTTCCCAACTCCTCCTATCCTTCATCCCTCCTCTTCTCTTCCCCTCCCACTTCCTGTGACTCTTCTCAAGGATTTTTCGTATCACCATCCTCGATGCTCGAGGAGCGGCTCCTCCGGTCCTCGACATCCTGACCGTCCGAGTTCGCCCCTGCGTCTCCTACAACGTCATCTCAGGATACTGCGAGGAGAACTTCGACTACTGCGCGCAATGCGCCTGCTGCCTCGGAGATATCAGAACATCGCCGCGCACCAGCGCTCCTATCGTTGCCTCATCGCCGACTCTTATCGGAGACTTTGGGCCCTGTGCTATCTACATCATCAACATCACAGCGTTCGATCCCGGCCAGGACGACAGCATCCTCAATGAAGGAGACGCGATCATGGTGTTCTTCTCCGAGACGACCGACCGAGCATGTGGCAAGCTCTACAAGAACTCGACCTGTCTCGACCGACGCATGTCAAAGTCTCAAGTTGACGCGTTCCTCTCCTTCTCGCAGACCATCGGCCTTGACTACGAGGCTGTGTGGGTAGACGGGAGCAGGCTACGGATCAACGTCCTCAACGCTACAGGAGGAGTTGCCGTCCCTTCCCGCCTTGTCATCTCTATCCCTGCCTCCTCCAACCTCAGGAATTATCCTCCCAACTGCCTCCCCCGCAATGTCAGTAGCCTTCGTCCTCCCCGCCTTTCCTCCTTCCTCCTCCTTCCTCCTCCTCCTCCCCCTCCTCCTCCTCCTCCTCCTCCCCTTGCTTCTTCCTCGTCCTCGTCCTCGTCCTCGTCCTCGTCCTCGTCTACCCTCTCCTCCTCCCTTCGATCATCCTCGTCGCTGATCTCCTTCCCACAGATAGATTCTCCGACGCTGCGGGGGAATTGGGGCCAGCCAGCACCATTCATCCTCAACTTTACAGCAGCAAGTGGCGGCAACGACTCTGTCTACGGCAACGAGGACAAACTCATCATCGACCTGTGCGTTCCCATCCGTCGTTACGTTTGTGCAGGAACCAATCAATTCCAGTTGCCCCTGGGGGTACCTCTCCCCAAGAGCACAGTCCTGAAGATGTTCTCCTTCTCTCAGGAGCTGGGAACAGACTTTCAAGGGCAGTGGGAGACTGACAGGCGTTTCGTTGTCACTGTGCTGAACTCCTCCCAGTCGCTTCCTCCCCAAGTCTACCAACTGACCGTCTCCGTGCTACATGAAGGAAGCTGCACCTGCGACGATAGCCTGTGTACCTCCTACACCTGCGGAGCCAGCGGTTTCTTCCTCCGTGATACGGCCCAGAAATCGATCTTCTCGTCCTCAGTATCGAGGGGGATAAGGGGGGGCTGGGGAAACAACTCCTTGAGAATCATTGACCTTGAAGCAAGGGACGCCTCTGGCAACAACATGCAGCTCGAACCGTACAAGTCTTATCAGGCAGGAGACACGATCACCGTTACCTTCAGCGGGCCAACGAACTATGGGTGATACTACCTCCTCTCCTCTTCTTCATATCCCTTCCTTACTCTATGTTTCCCTTCCTCCTTGTATCCCCTCCTTCCTTTTCCTCTGTACCTCTCCTCCCCCTGACCCCTTTCACCACAGGAGGGGCCCCCCAGGCTGCGTACTCGATCAGGAGCCATGGCCAGGAGAGCAGCAAACGGCAAACTTTACCTGCAGCACAAACTCTCCCTCTTTCCTCTCCAGAGACGATCTGCTCGGTCTCTTCACGTTCTCCCAGTCACTAGGGGCGAATTTCTCCGGCCGATGGCTCTCCCGCTCCATTCTCATCATCACCGTCCACAACGTCTCCCTTGCTTCCCCCCCGGGGATCGGCCGCCTCTTCCTCCTCACCAAGGCAGCTGGCGACCTCCGCAACTTCCCGGTCGCCTCCTTCCCAGCTGAGATCTCCTCTCCTCCTCTTCGAGGGGCGTTCGGCCCTTCCTCCGTCCGAATCGTTCGAATGCTCGCGCGAGATCCCACCAATAAGGACGAGCTGTACAGCTCGGTAAGAAGACATCAAAATACCATACACTCCTCTCCTCTTTTCCCCTCCTTCACTTCTCCCAACCTCCACTCCTCCACTCCTCCTCTCCCCCTCTCCTCCTCTCCTCTCCTCGTCTCCCTTCCTCTCCTCCCCTTCCAACCGCCTCGCTCTTCAGCACTGACGCTGATGGCAGGGAGATAGGATCGTCCTCACCTTCAACCAACCGCTCAACGTCCAGGTGGGCTCCATGCTGAGCAAGGAGGAGGTGGACGCTTCCTTCCTCTTCTCCCAGCGCCTCGGAGCGAACTACCGGGCAAACTGGTCCTCCTCCTCCGAGCTCAGCGTCGAGGTCCTCGACGCTACAGGCGCCAGCCCTCCTGTCCTCTCCGCAGCCTACACACCCGACGGAGCTCTGCTCTACCCCAAGAGGGCTGCGAGTGGCTTCCAGGTGCAGTGGACGGAGAATTGCGACTCGGTGATGTGTCCAGCTGCCTCAGTGCTCAGGTACCAGAACTTCCAAGAGGAGCTAGCAGCAGAGGAGAGGTTGAACCGTCTCAAGTTTCTCGAGCTCCAGCCCAGCAGCTACTACTCCGACGTTCTCCCATGCAGCTACAGGCCGCAAACTCAGACCAACGTCTCTCAGATCTCGCTCTCCTTCGCAGGAGTTGACATCTTCAACATCTTTTGGGTGGCCCTCTCCTCCTCCTCCAACCTGAGAGATCAGAGTCAGACTGAGGTCCCTTCAACCTTTGCCAGCATCTCCGGAAACGCCTCCGGCCTCGTTGGCAAGCCCATCCTCCTCCAAGACGTCCTCGTCCCCCTCACTGGCGACTTCGGACAGTCCAGGATGACAATCTCCCAGCTCCGCATCGGCAGCTTCGACAACCTCGATGACGTCTACGGAGCTGGTGATCATATCACCGTAACTTTCTCAGAGGATACAAACCTTGCTCACCTAGACGCGATAGACATCCCTCGGGAGCAGGTGAACGCACTTCTCCGCTGTGAGACGGAGCCAGTCTTGGAGCAAGTGTCCATCCCTGCAAGGTTCTGCAGAACCATCGCTGTTGTCAACCCTGGAAGTCAGCAGAGCAGCAAGCTGGGGATGTACCAGATGCAGACCAGCACGCTGGATGGGATGCCATACTACAAGCAGCAGGGAGGATCGAACTACATCTTCTCCTACTGCAACCTGAAGCACAGGATCGATGTCTCCTGCCCCCGGTGGCATATCGGAGCAAGAGTCGGCTCTGTCGCCGCCGGCCTTTACGCCAGCTCCTCCTCGACGACCCTCGACGCCTCCACCATACCCGCTGGTGCATGGAGAGAGTGGAACGGCACAGACTGGGTCACATCGAGAGTTCAAGTCCTCTGCAACGATGATGGGAGTGTTGCCATCAACTCCTCCTCCTCCTCCTCCTCCTCCTCCTCCTCGTCCTACGTCGATGTTGACTCCATTGCTGCTTCCTGCGACTGGCTTGGCTCCAACTACAGCGGCAGGTGGCTGAGCCGCAGCCAGCTGGTAATCACGGTTTTGAACGCGACGGGAGTGAACGGAGGGTACGACAAGACTGCCGCTCTCTCGTGCACTCCCCGTCCTGCCTGCGCAGTCAAGTCCATCAATTCTCCTCAGCTCGGAGCGTTCTACGTCTCCGTCAAGGCAAGCTCCTACCTCCGCAACTTCCCTCCGACGTCCGGGCCGGTGGGGGAGACTGTGTATGTTTCGTCCCCGAAGCTGGTGGGAGATTACGGCCTTCTCTTCCCTCAGATCACCAGCATCGTTGCCAGCAACCCCAACACCCAGCAGAGCGTCTACTCGCCCGGTGACGTCATCACAGTCTACTTCAACCAGGCGACAGACATGGCCAAGTTTGCCCCTTGCGACTCCTCTGCTATCCTGAGCTCAACGTCATCTGACAACCAATGCTGCTCGTTCCCCGTGTGCGACTGCCCCGTCCTCTCCAAGGAAGAGGTCGACTCTCTCTTCGACTTCTCCGACTCCCTCGGCTCCAACTACACAGGAAGGTGGCTCAACAAGGCCAAGGTAACTCCTTCCTTTCCTCTCCCCTCCTCTTACTCTCTGCCTTACTCCCTTCCCTCCTGCAGGAGTTCGAGATCACCGTGCACAACACGACTGGCGCAGCTCCTCCTTCTATCGGCCACTCCATCATCATCTCTGTGACCTCTAGAGGACGAGCCATCCGGTCTGCAGACAGCTCCTCCGAGCCCTCGAGCATGAAATCTCCTCCTCTCAACGGGAGCTTCGGCCCTGCAGACGTCCGGATTCTACAGCTGGTAGCGCAGGACCCTGTCAACGTTGACCCGTCGTACAATCCGGGGGACACAATCGTCGTGCAGTTCAACAGGGATACAAACTTGGGAGATCTGCCAGAGCAAGGGATCAGCAGGAAGCAGATTGACAACTTGATCTCTTTCAACCTTCCCATCGTAATTTCTCTCCTCCTCCTCCTCCTTTCCTCTCTCTCCTCCTCTCCTCCTCCCCTGCTCCCCTCCTCTCTAACTTTGCCTCCTATCTCACCTTCTCTTGCTCCTTCTCCTCCTCCTACTTCTTTCTGCCTTCCCCTTCCTCTTCCTCATCGTTCTCTCCTCTTGTTTTCCACTTCCCCCTCCTCCCTTCTTCTCATGTTCTCCTCCTCTCCCCTCTCGCTTGTCTTGCTCCCTTACCCCCACCTTCTCCTCTTCTTCCCACTGAGTGTACCTCCCCAGGGAACGAATTACACCGGCTCTTGGGTGTCCTGCAGCAAGTTGAAGATCACAGTAGAGAACGTGACAGGAGCAGCCCCGCCCGTGATTGGCTACCTAACTGCTCGTATTCTTCCTACCGGCAACCTCCGCAACTTCCCCAGCGCCTCCTCCCCCAGCTCCGATCAGTTCGCCGGATTCCTCTCGGGAGATTTCGGACCTCCTGCCATCGAGTTCACTGGTGTGTCCTCCTTCTCCCTCTCCCTCCTCCTGCTCCTCCTCCTCTCTCCGTCTACCCTCCCTCTTCCTCTCCCTCCTCTTTCTGTTTACCTCCTCCATGTTGTATCCCTCCTCTTTCTCTCCCTTCTTCGCCTCTTTCTTCCTCTCCCTCTTCTCCTCCCCGCTCCTTCCTCTCCCTCCCTGACGCCTTTGCAGACGTCCGCGCCTTCGACAGCGGCAACGGGACCGGAAGGTACGAGAGGGGAGACTACATCCTTCTCCAGCTCAACGAGCCTTGCGATCAAGGAGGTCTCCCCCAGTACCTCTCAAAGCAGCAGCTCGATCAGCTCCTCAACATGTCACAGAGCCTAGGAAAGAATTACTCAGGAGAATGGCTGGACATCCAAGAATGGATCCCTTCAGTCGGCACAGGCGTTCTTCCTGCCTTCTCCTCCTCCAGCGCTATCAGGATCACAATTCTCGACCCTACCGGCGCTGCTCCTCCCACCGTCGACACCTTCCGTGTTGCCTTCAGGGCCAGTGCCAACGTTCGCAACATCCCACCAGTCTGCCGTCCGTCCGTGAAAACGTCTCCTCCTCTCACAGGAAACTTCGGGCAGACCAACATCCGCATCACCTCGCTCTCAGCTCGCTACAACCAGACCTGTGTTGGAGGCTGTGACGCCGTCTACGGCAACGGGGATATGATCGACATCGCCTTCTCCGAGGACGTCACCTTCTGCTACCCTTCCTGCTCCTGCTCCGACCCAGCAGACAACTCTCCTTACTGCCCGCGTCCTCTCGACGAGTACGTGAGGCAAGAAGTGCTCGAGCAAGCGTTCGAGTGGTCGCAGCGTCTCGGCGCTTCCTACTACGGCAGGTGGCTGAGCAAGAGCAGTCTCCGCATCATCATAACCAACGCGTCTGGCGCGGACCCCCCAGCTGTATACCAGCTGCAAGTCAAGGTGACGCCTCGGGCTCAGATCAAGAACTTTCCTCCTACAGGCAACTACTCTATCCCCCTCTCGGATACTCTCTGCTCGAACGAGAGGCTGGCTGGCTCGCTGACCTGCGGCTTCGGGCCAGGGGACGTTGAAATCGAGCGAGTCGTGGCTGTCCCGTACACCATGGACATCGAGTACCCGGGGAAGATCTCGGCCGGGGACAAGATCCTTGTGCAGTTCAACCAGCCGACAACTCGCGGGAGCCCCATGCTCTGCGTCGGGGGGACGCGCGACGGCCTCGCTTGCTCGAGCATCCTCGACGACACGACCTGCCGAGACCGATACATCGACCCTTTGACCCGCCTGCCTGTGCTGCTGAGCACCGGAGGAACCTGTACCTTCTCTCCCCTCCCCAAGTACCAGATGCTCAAGAAGGAGATCGTGGACGCGCTCTTTGACTTTAGTGTCCCTCTTGCTGTGGACTACGAGGGCCAGTGGGAGGACGCCTGTGCCTCCACTAGCGCATGTGACGTGGCGGGGAGCCCGGAGGATCGCGTTTTCGCTATCACGATTCTCGAGGTGGACCACACGAGCATAGACCGAGGTCTCATTCGCACTCCGTCCGTGGGATGCGGAGCATGCGTGAATGCATACGAGTTCCGCGTCACCATCAAGGTCAGCGGGGACCTGAGAAACGTTCCTGCTGCCTGTATCCCTCAGAAATCTTTGTCTCCTCCCTTGGAAGGATCCTTCGACAAGCCTGTGATCCAGATCGACTGGGTAAGACCGACGGCTTCGAGCGCTTGTCTGCAACTCCCTCCCTCCCTCCCTCCCTCCCTACTCCCTCCCTCCCTCCCTCCCTCCCTCCATTCCTCCATTCCTCCCTCCCTCCCTCCCTCCCTCCCTCCCTCCCTCCATTCCTCCCTCCCTCCATTCCTCCCTCCCTCCATTCCTTCCTATCGTCTGCCAGCTTCTACCCTCACCAATGCACACCTTCTCCACTCACACCTCTTTCATTCCTACTCCCTCCTTCGTTCTGCTCTGCTCCCTCCTCCTCCTCCTCCTCCTGCTCCTGCTCCTGCTCCTCCTCCTTCTCCTTGGTTTTCTCCAGGTGCAACAGCACCTGCTCCTGCACCTGCTCCTTCTCCTCCTGCTCCTCCTCCTCCTCCTGCTCCTCCTTCTCAAGCTCCTTCTCCTTCTGCCATCGCTCTGACATCTTGCTATCAGATCATCGCTGACGATCCTGGCAACCGCAACAGCTGGTACTCACCAGGAGACACTATCACCATCGTCTTCAATCAGCCGACAAACCTGGCAGGCCTCTACCCAACCAACATCCCCAAGTCGCAGATCGACTCTCTGTTGATCTTTAGTGAGACCATTGGCGCTGACTATACAGGGGCATGGCAATGCCGGTACAGCTCCAAGGAACTCTGCAAGTCTTGGGAGATCTACCAGGACGGTGCCAACGTCGTGAACTTTTCTCGGTGGGCTCTTGGTAAGTCCAGCGGTTGAGGGAGGGAAGGAAGGAGCTAGAGGAGGAAGTGGAGGAGGCAGTGCGGGAAGGAGCAGAGGTTGGAGAAGCAGGAGGCAGGAGAGGAGCAGCATACTGTGGTAGAAAACTCTGACCTGCATGTTTGCAACAGAGATCACGATCAAGAGCATCGCAGGCATCCGTAACCTCAACAAGTGTATTGACCAGATCAACGGCTGTGAAGAAGCCTCGGTCGACCTTGGGACCTTCACAGTTTCTCTCAGAGGGACTGGGCCTTACCTGGACTGGGCCTCTCCCTTTGCCGGGAGTGGGCCGGGGATCAGGAACTTCCCTGCGCAGAGTGCAGCGAGCACGTTCAGCAAGAGGGGACTGTCGGGCCAGTTCGGAAGGAGGATCGAAGTGTATGACGTCATCCCAAAGCAGATCCCCGTCCTCGGAGCCTTCATCACCATCGTAGGACGCGGCTTCGGGTCCAACCCCAACATCATCTCTGTCTCAGTAGGGAAGCAGGTTATCAGCGGGGTGAGCATGCCGAACGGGTACACCTCACCCGTCCCACTACGGGTGGGTCAGGCGCTAGTGGTCATGGCGCCGGTAGGGAGCGGGTCGAGAGGGCTAGAGGTCATCGTGTCGATCAGATATGAGTTCTCTGCGGAGACCTTCACTGCCCGATGCCCGACAGTCATCTTTTATGCTCCTCCTGAGATCACCAGGGTGACTCCTGACCGCCTGACCCTCGCGCGCTCGCAAGCTTTCGACGTCAGCCGATACCTGATCACTATCTCGGTACTCCCCTCCTCCTCCTCCTCTCCTCTCCTCTCACTCTCAGCTTCAGGGACGAAACTTCGGGCTGGGACCTCCGCTCCTGCCCTACCCCAAGGTTTTCTTCAGGGTGCAAGGAACAGGTGGGAGAGGAGGAGGATCCGTGTGGCTGGAGCCTGACGTTGGCGTGCAGGAGCTCAACAGTGTTCCAACCTCACCATCGTGTCTGACATGCAGCTCATTTGCGTGCTCGCAGTCAACCCGACCGTGCGAGTCGCGTCGGAGCGAGCAGACCTCGTCGTCTCCTTGGACGATCAAGCTGCCACCCTCGTCAACGCCGTCACCTATGGGCAGGTCCCGTCCTTCTGGACTCACTGCAGGCCGGAGCTGACGAGCGCGTGCTTCTCGTGCTGCGAGCTCTACTGCATGGAAGACGTCTACAGCACGGGGGAAGAGGTGAACTCACAGTTCATGCACGGCCAGTGTCACCTAAGTTGTCATGCCTTCTGCGGGTTTGCCCGCCTTGTCGATGAATCGGAAAGTAGCTGAATGAACGCAGCTCACTCAGTAACGATGCCGCACTGCCGCACTATCGTGTCACGACTCGCCGCCTTGGCCAGCCGAGGCGGCCGCCCGCCGCCGATCATGCCACATCACCAGCCCTCAGGCTGCTCAGTCCGATCTCACGGGCACTGACCGTATCACACCCCGTCTACTGTGGCTGCCCGGCGCTGAACTTGCTCGGAAGTACCGCCGGGCCGGCCGCGCGTCACGATAGTACTACGGCACCTTACTGCGGCAGTGACAGTAGTCCGAGTCCGTCGCCCCGGCCGGGGCGGGCCGGGCCGGCCTCCCGTGAACGAGGGCTCCTGTCCTGTCGGACGCTTCCTGGAGTCGGATAGAGTCGCCGGGTCCGGCGGACTGTTGGTTTGCCAAGCCTTGAAGTTGGCCAGTCACCGTCACGGTCGCGGCGACAGTGTCAGGGTCAAGCCTCCTCGACTCTCCTGATTGTCCTCGTACGGTGACTGATCGGATTTTTAACTTAACTTTGAGTAAAGTAGTCATGAAAGTTGCCACGCTACTAGGGCCTATCTGTCTGCTATCGGGCCTACACCCTAATCCGATCAGTCACTGAGTCACGGTTCGTGACATGATGGCCGGCCCCGGAGTCACTACTCAGTGGCAGTGATTGACTCCCGGACTCATACTGAGTCCGGGCCGCCGCAATCATGGGCGGCGGCAGGATCCAGGCATCGATGATCGGCCCGGGCGGATCGGCGATTAAAACTTATATGCCATCCAATATTGAAACTCAGTGTACTGACTTCACAAAATCTGCTACTGAAATACATTTATTGTTTTATATTTACTATGAATTTCTAACAAGTGTATTTATTTGCAATTCAGAAACAAGTAAGATCAAATTTTCTAATATCGAAGTAAAAAAGTATATATCTTTAAAACTAATAATATTAAATCATTTTACTCAACCAACCAAAATTTTTTCCGGAAATAAAACAAAAGATCACCCACCCCATGGGCCCCAACTCTTCTACCCCACCCCCTATTGTATTGAATCTACCCCTGCAAGTTCTTGCCCCTCACGATGAACATGGTCATTGAGTTTTTATGGACCCACCCTTTTCCCTGTGGTTCTGTTCTGTTTTACCCCACATCCATAAAAAGTACCCACCCACCCAATCATAGAGATTCCCACCATACGTGTAACCTCACCCTACCTTTAGTCGCATGTACCCACCTCACCCTATGCTAGTACCCTGCTCTCCATGCAGATGGTTCCTGGGAGAGATTGTACCGGTACTTTCGAAGGATTTGGAGGGGTCATGGATTCTTGCTGGGGTCCTTGGCTAGCACGCGAGGAAAAAAGACAGGGGGGTGGGGGGTAGGGTGGGGGGTGGGGTGGGCACGAGCGTGAACAAGACACCACAATAAGTACTTGTTTATTTTAGGTAATAATTTAACTAATCTTTAGTATTGTTTTGGGTGCTGAAGCGGCCTTTCTCATGAGGGGGTATTACTTCATGACAGGTGATATGAAGTGAAATTATTGATCTATATTATATTATGAAAATTGATTAATTAAAATAACGCAATAAATTAAGTAATAATATGATGTACAATTTGATAATTGTTGAGATAAGTCTGCTGGGGTAAGAGAGGTATTCAATACGTTTGAGGAAGTCATGGGAACCCCCCTCAAAATATTTTTGTGGTGGTGACGCTATCAGCGTGCCGCTTCCTCCTGCGTCCCCCGCAGGCTGTTTGCTACCTTTGCGAACCTTTCCCGCTGCCTCTTTCCCTCCTCCTTCCTCCCTCCTCCTCCTCTCCTTCTCATAGTTTATCTGCATCCTTGCCCCTGCTAGACTCGCACAGCCTACGAAGCTTTCTCGCCTTCTTTGGTCCTCCTCTCCTCCCTATCAGCATCTACCAGAAAGAGCCACGTGGAGGGACATTCACGAGGTAGCTAGAGCTGAACCCGCAAGGCGCTTGTCGTCTATTGTTTCTCTTGGCATGCATGAGTGACGAGAGTCTGTGTATGCTCTGCGGATCCTCGTTGCGGATAGATGTTCTCTTCTGTCCCGCAGTGCATATCACGTTGGCCGCGATTTTTGACTCGGGGCCTTTCTTTGCACGAAAGATGCATGTGAATGTTTCGATGAATGACAAGATTTGGCCTTATCGTCAGCCTCAGCTTCCACGCCTGTACATTCTATGATGAATCACACTGTTTTTATCTAATGTGTTACAAATATGTCACTGCACGTGTGAACATTTTCATGGTTTCATCTGATTGCAATGGAGTGCGAGATGTCTCTAGCTTCCCCTTGTCTCATCTATAGACTTGTTGGATAGTTTCGCGGAGGAAAATCCCTCACCTCTGTGCGTGCAGGTGTATGGAATTTCCTGTGTGTTGAGAGCGGAGAGGATCTTTTGTGACAAGTTAGAGAAAATTCTTGTCGACAACAACGGAAGTTCATCAGAGGTGAGAGTCTTGTTGGCTGGTTTGATCGTTTTTTGACGATTCGTATTCCGAACAGTGCCGGACAGGTTCTTCGGTTGATTAAGTTTTCTCGGATCGGCCTTGGTTGGCCCCAGGGGCCTGGCCATGCCTTTAAACCCTAATGCAGCCGCGTTTACATTCAATCCTGCAGCAGCGGAGTTCGTTCCGAGCTTTCTAGGTACTTGATTCAAGTGGAGGAGGAGACAGTGGGATTGACACTTCTGTTCTGTATCAGCTGCTCCAGCCTCTGAGCCCAAGGTCAACGGGACTCCCAACAAATCGGATACCGGGCGAGTGCTTTCAAAGGAGGCGCCTGAGTTTGTTCCGGGGAATTACTCCAGCCTGCCGTCCATCAACAACAACTCTACTGGAAGTGGAGTTCTGTCCAAGTCAGACCCTTCTAAGAATGACTCGGCTAGCGACGGGACTGCCCCGCATCTCGAATCCAAGAGACCGACTGCAGTGCATGTCGCCGCTCCTAGCAGCGCTCCAGTCGTGTCTGTGCGGATGATCGACCCCCCCGAGCATCCGCTGAAGGGAGCCAAGTACACTATCCAGCAGCTGAAGACCATGAGGCACGACTACAAGTACGTCGACATGTTCGGTACTGAGCTCAAGGAGCACATCGAGGCCTTCCGGAAGATCCTGGAGGATACTCCAGAGCTCGATCCAGAGAAGGACATGCCGGACAGGAAGCAGTCCGACTCTAACACTCCTCGCTTGAAGAGACAAGACAGCGGCGGGACAACGCCCAAGAGTGGGCGAGGGAGGAAGAACGACCAGCCACTGCGCGATCGCAGCGGCAAGATTATTGAGGTCAAGGCACTCGAGATCAGTGAGAATAGATGGAAGCCAACAAAGCCCACGGATGATGAGGAGAAGGTGTACAAGGCCGTGAAGGGTCTGCTCAACAAGCTCACCCTCGAGAAGTTCGACAAGCTTTACAACGACATCTTGAATGTCGGCATCAGCACGGCCTCGCTGTTGCGAGGATTTGTCGTGATCTTGTATGACAAGGCCGTCCTCGAGCCAACTTTTATTGGGATGTACGCGAGAATGTGTGAGAAGCTCGCTGAAGACCTGCCCGAACTCTCTGACGAGGCCGGAGTGCTTCCATTCGCAGAAGTGCTGGTTGGCAAGTAAGTGCTTCGAGGCAGTTCCAAAGCCTGTTGTTGACTTGTTTGCTTGCAGATGTCGGGCAGAGTTCGAACTGATGGGCAAGGAGGCGGAGAGAGAGGAGTTGGATCAGCTCTCTGACGACGATCGTCAACAGAAGCTGAGGAAGCTGAGGCAGCGAACTCTAGGAAACGTCGAATTCATTGGCGAGCTGTTCAAGCGCAGCATGGTGGGATCGGAGGAGGTGCACCTGTTCATTGGGAAGCTCCTTGAAGCGTCCAAGGAGGACCACGACTCGATTCAACCCCTGTGCAAACTGCTGGAGGGAGTAGGGAAGCCACTGGAGAAGACGGAGAAGAACATTGTCGACCGTTACTTCGTGCGGATTGAAGAGCTTGCGGAGATGGAAGGGTTGAGCTCTCGCTTCAAGTTCATGCTCCTCGACCTCAAGGATCTCCGATCTAACGACTGGGTCCCTCGGCGACAGGCCTCAGGGCCCAAGTTGCTGCAAGAGGTGCAGAAGGAAGTGGACAAAGAGAACCGATACACTGAGAAGAAGAAGGAGAAGGAGGACAAGAAGGGAGACAAGAAGGGCGACAAGAAGGGCGAGAAGAAGGGAGGTCACTCCAAAGATAAGAACAAGCAGAGCAAGAACGAGGACGAAGGCTGGTCTCAGGTCACCACAGCCGTCAAAGGAAAGGGTAAGAAGCCGGCCGACAAGAGGAAAAGGAACGAGCCAGCTCCCGCTCCAGCTCCAACTCCAGCTCCTCTCCCTCGATCCAACAGCGGCCAGGCTCTCAACAAGAATGCACCCCCCAAGGGCATCTCAGCAGGCAGAGGAGGATTCGCAGCCCTTATGGATGAGGAGGAGGACGAGGACGAGGAGGAAGAGGAGGAGGAGACTTCCGAGAGCGAGGAGAGCGAGGAGAGCGACGTGGAGGATCGCATTCCTCGCAAGTCGCTCGCTGAGGAGGAGCTTGGTGAGGAGGGCGAGGGCAAAGTCGGTTCGATCCTCGAGGAGTACCTATGTAAGCCGCTAGACCCTGGGGAGGAGGTTGTGCTGACGTCATTCCAGGTATCCACGATATCAACGAGGCCAAGGAGTGCATCGAGGAGCTGTGGAGCATTGGTTACAAGAGGAGTGCAGTCAACGAGGAGGTCATCCGTCGAGGTCTCCTCCTCGCCTTCGATGCCGGGGACCAGGAGAGCGAGCTGATGGGGAAGCTGTTCGCCAACATGGTGGAGCAGGAGGTGTTCTCCAAGGACGACGTGGCTCAGGGGATCTGCGGTGTGCTGGAGGACCTGCCGGACACGGCCATCGACTTTCCCAAGGCTCCGCAGCTCATGGCGAAACTCATGAAGGAGTACCTGGAGAGAGAGCTGATGAACAGAGAGCTGGTCCAGGAGGGGCTGAAGGCCCTGAGAGAAGCTTCTCCCTCCACCGCCAAGGCCTTCGAGGACTTTCCAGGCATGTAAGGCTCAAGAAACTTGCGACAGGGAGCAGGAGAGCCTGTGACTCTTCCGTGTCCTTGTGTGCCCCTTTACCCCTACTTAGTGACTGCGTTTCTTAGCACGAGTACAATTTTAGGATCGTGAATTTTCCTTATGATGTACTAAATCAGAGACAAAAGGTTGTGCTCAAGATTCACGTGCTTCACTCTCCCCGTCCTCAAGGCCTCCGGGAAAACCTGCGTCGATTCATGTCAAAGTCTGAACGTGAAGCCTTCGATTTCACTCCTCCTTTCCCTCTCCCCCCCACCCCTGCCCCTTTCCTCCTCATCCTCCTCTCCGTCCTGCTCTCCTCGCCCCTCCACTTCAGCCCTCACTCACCTCAAGTTTATTGTTGGAAACGTCGAGGGTATGAAGGGAAGGGAACCACGACTCTAGCTCGTTCTTGACGTCAGGGAGCTGACGGAGGAGGTTGTGCCTGAGGTCCAGTATCTCCACCCTCCTGCTCCTCTCGTCAGCAACCGACGGCGATGCTCGCAGGAGGCAGAGAAGAAGCTCACTTGTGCATGTGGAAATCTGGCGGGAGGGAGGTGAGGAAGTTGAACTGCGCGTGCAGCTGCTTGAGGCTGTGGAGGAAGAAGAGGTCCTTGGGGAGGGAGAGTAGTTCGTTGTGATCGACTCTGAGCACTGAAAGCTCCGGCAGGTCGCAGATGGAGCCGTCGACTTCCTGCACGTCATATGAGGAAAGGAACGCCAATAGAAATTGCCAGCATGACCCGCAGCTTGTTGTCGGAGAGGTTGAGGGTGTGGAGGCAGTGCATGCCAAGGAGGTTGGGGAGATACTGGATCTGGTTGCTCCTTGCGCTCAGCTCCCGTAGCTGCTGTAAGGACGAGAGGCAGGAAGGGAGGTGAAGGAGCTGATTGTGATCTGCTCTGAGGACTTCGAGCTGCCGGAGATGCTCCAAGCCGTCGGGGAGGCTCTTGAGGATGTTGACTGACACGTCAAGCACTCTTAGCTGGTGGTACTCCTTCCAGCTCCTGACAGCTGACGTCAGAGAAGAGACGTGAAACTGAACGGAGGGGGAGGAGGAGGAGGAAAGATGAAGAGGAAGGGAGGAGGAGAGAGAGAGAGGAAGAAACAGCAAACTCAAAGAAAGAGGTAAAAAGGAAAGGAAAGGAAAAGGAAAGGAAAGGGAAAGGAAAGGGGGAGGAAAGGGGGAGGAAAGAAGAACGAGGGAAAGCATTGACGGGATGAAGAGGGAGAGCAAGAGGGTGAGGAGAGAGAGGAGAGAGAGGAGAGGAGGGAAGGAGAGAAGGGAAGGGGAGAGGAAGGGGAGGGAAAGGAGGGCGAGAAGAGGAGGGCGAGGAGGGCGAGAAGAGGAGGGCGAGAAGAGGAGGGCGAGAAGAGGAGGGCGAGAAGAGGAGGGCGAGAAGAGGAGGGCGAGAAGAGGAGAGAAGAGGAGAGAAGAACTACCCCGGAAGCCTTGTCAAGCCTTCATCTGTGATCCTAACCTCGTCAAACGTTTCAGGAGGGAACCGTCGGAGCAGATCGACCCGATGTAGCCTGCGACCTCCTCGGTCTCTGCCACCCTCGTCAAAGAGGACAGCAGCTGCCGGCGAGACGTCGACGAAGGATGCAGCACTGAGGAGCACAGGCCTGATGACAAGGTTCTTGTCGTCCCTCTTCGTTTCTCGCCAGTCAACTCGTTCTCTCGTCAGCCTGTCTTGCTCTGTCCTGCTCGTGACAGTGAGGCAGAGCAAGGGATCAAGACGCAGCACAAGCTCCCCACCTCTTTCTCTCTAGCATGGAGGCCTGTCTCCTCGCTGGAAGATGATCGTTCCCATCGTTTCTCAATGCGTACCCCTTCGTGGTAGAGCGAAGGTCTCAGCTGGTTAGTTCCGATGCCTTTGTTGTGCACTGCCTTATGCGGTCTTTCCCTGCCCCCTCTCCTCTCCTCTGCTCTGCTCTGCTCTCCTCTCCCTTATCTCTCTTTATTGGTCACTCTTGAAGATTTCTTTTGGTGGCATGTTCAAGTGGCTGAAGTTTTTGACTTCTTTTTTTCTCGGTCACCGATTGGTTTTAAGTTACTCGGAGGCTCAAAGTTACTACTCAGTACTACACTGCCCACGCCGCCATTCGGAAGTTCAGTGACTGACTACCGTAGTACGAGCCCGGCTGAGTATGGGAAGTGACTGAGGCCCGGGACCGTGACTCCGAGGACCTGACAGAGACAGTGAGGCTTGTGAAACAGTCGGACTGAGCCTCAGCGGCCGGCCCGGGCTGGCAAACTTGAAACTCGGTCGACTTGAAACTTTTGGCAGTCCGATAGCACCGATATGCGAGCCTGCTTTGCGACCTAGTCTTGGAGGGGCTTCAAACACTCAGCCAAAGGGAGCTGAAGGGGCTTTCGAGACTCTCGGAACTCTCAACGGTCAAGTATCAGTGTAGGATATTTTGCAAATCTTTCGACGCGAGCGCTGAGACCGTCCGGGCTGAGACTTCAGCAGTACTACCGTAAGAACGTGACCCTAGCTGTGAGAGCCTCAGGTTGTATTCAGTGTGGTCGTTGGAGCGCATTGCTCAAGCTTCATGGATGGAACCCGTGATCGCTCTTGATCGTCGCTCGTAAAGTTGGCATGGATGCCAAAATCTGCATGCAAACGTCATACAAGACAACGGCTGCCGGACACAACAAACCTCTTGGGATCCTAGGATTTCAAACATAGATCGCTGCTGGCGCTTTCTCTGGGAGATCCGATCGCTAGCAGGACGAGGAGCTGGTATGTCGGAGTCCTCGTCCTCGTCTTGTGGTTCAACCTGCTTGTCCTCCAGGAATGAACTCCTCCTACCAGACGCTGCATCCCCTGAGCACCTCCAGGTCAACGAGCTGGAGGGACAAGGCAGTAGAAGCTCACAGCTCTTGTTGGAACGTGGACTCTGAGCTTCCAGTGTGCTGTCAGCTCGTTCGTTTTCTAGGGGCGACATGACGTGCCAATCTCCTTCTTCTGGCAGTGTGTTTGCAGTCAACTGGAGACACAAGTCAGTTGAAGGTGCTGAGAGCATTGACAACAGACGAGGGATTTGTGTATGCGAAGTACAAGGAGAGAGAGAGCGATGAGGAGAGAAGCGAGAGACTGAAGGAGACAAGCGTCCTGGAAGGAAATTCGAAGAGAGAAAAGGGGAAGAAGAGAAGGGCGAATGGGAGGAGAGGTAAAATAACCTTGGCGATGGCTTCATGACCAAAAATATATTCAAGCGACTCCAGGACATGGTTGGAATAGTTTTCCAACTCATCGGAAATAGATTCTTCAATGTGAGAATGACTCGATTCATGTTTGCGCACGGAGCGTGAGCTATCGTGGGGGCTTCGTTTGGAGAGCTCAATCTTGGGGCCAAAAACGTCGTTGGCATGAAGGGAAGGTGAATTCAACGGACTAAGAGGCAGGTTTCTTGCGCCATCGTTCTCAACCACTGTGACGTTTCCAAGATCATCAATGACCACCGATGGGGGCTCGGATGTTTTTGCGGATCTGTAGACACAAGTAAGTACAAAGAAAACAGGGGCGAGCTTGAAAGGTTGACATATGATTGACGAGAGCTTCGTTCACATTCTTGTAATAAGTGTTCTCAGTTTCGAGCCTTTCTACTTCCATCCTTAGCTTCTGCAACTTGTAAGACCTGCTTTCTTGCAGGAAGATGTTAAAGACAGCTCGTGCCATTGTACTTCCGTTCTTGTAAGCTTTGAAGGGGATGTAGTAGTAACCGGCATCTTCATACAACGCATCTGAGTTCGCCGTTTGTGTTGAGCCCTTGGAGATCATCTTCAATCGTCTCAGTCTCTCTCTTCTGTCAAATTTTGCACTCAGACAAGCTGCAAACTGTCGGATACACAATGACTCGCCAATACAAAGACAAAGACTACAAATCACTCGCCATTGGGCCAAGACTGTCGGCAGCCTCTGACTCAGACCGAGTCAATGCTGCTTATCGCCGCCATCACTGCGGGTCACCGGGTCTAACTATTCAATGATTTCCGGTAGTACGGTACTACGGTAACATGGAATACACGACCGTCGGACTGTCAAACAGTGATGGTCACTCACACGCCATCGTCGACTCTGTCGGCTCCGTCTTCCTCCCACCATCCTTGTTTGTGTTTCTGCAGCATCAAGACGTGACCGCAGCGTCAAGGTTTGACCTCCCGGGCCGCTCGGCGACGCGGCCCGGCCCGGGCCGCGGCCATTTCAATTAGAATCACTGAGAGACAGGTCCGCCTCAGTTTGACTCGTTCAGCCCGTTCACCCAACTTGCCGGCGCGGCCGCGCGGCGGGAGTGAGTGATGGCTGGGTGGATGGGGGGGGGGGGGGCATAGGGTGGTTTTCAAAATTGAAACTTTCAATAAAACTTTCAAAATTATAAATAAATATTAAGTGTAAAAGCTAACATGCTTGAAATGTATTTGAAATCAGCCCCCTTCATGGGAAACCTCCATTTGAAACGGGTGTACCCTTCCGGGGCTCAGCGAAAAGGTACCAGGGAACGAAAGACTCCAAAGAAGGGGTACTTTGATAGGAAATGGCAGGGGTATATAGGTGAAACCGGAGGTAGGGGTACGGATCTAATGGGGTGGGGTCAAAATCTAGGCAGTGCATGCTAGTTTCCGTACAGGACCGTGGGGTGGTAAAATAGTAGGGGTAGGCTACCTCTGTCTGGGTACTATCACCAGCGGAAGTTACGTAAAAGGGGGGGTCATACACGAGAGAGATTAGTAGGGTTGGTTATTGGTGAAAGTTGGTGGGGTAGTCTAGGGCCCCTCGCTATGGCGAAAGCAGGAGCACTCGAACGATGGCAGACAGATGTTGAGAGGGGAGGGGAGGGGAGAGAAGGGGAGCAGAGAAGAGCAGGTGGTAACATTGAAAGATTGAAGAAGGAGGAAGAGACATGTCAACATGTATCAGAGCCGAGCAGAGGAGGAGCGAGAGGAGAGGATCGCAATAGGACGAGGAGTGTGGATGGGGCGTACAAGTGAGTTTTCTTACTAACAGTGGTGCTTATCAGTTTAAGGTTAGTTTTACTGTAAAGAATCAGAAAAGTTTACTCAAGGAGCCATGAGAATTCTTACGATAGGCTGAAGCAACCACATGGCAGAGAATTTTGATTGATACGTGTTTAACGAGTTAATGTCTCTCAACCATTCGGAGGGTCCGGCAGTGGTAATTCAAATGCTAGGATTCATCGATATACAGCTTTATCTGTAGGGGGCTGATATCGATTGGTGTGATAAGCAGCAGGAGATAGAGTGTCGATGAACGTTTTTGAAAAGCGATGCAATTGCACTAGAAAAATTCTTCGTTTAACTTGCCCTTCTTTGCGTGTTGATAACTCATATTGCTCTTGCATTGACTATTTCTGCAGTAACTATCTTGACGGCATGGAAGGAGGATCTAGTAGTGCGGCGATGGAGGTGGAAAAGTCTGAGAGTGCTGCGGTGCGTCCACAGAATGAAGCAACAGGCCAGGATGAGGAGATGAAAGGGGGAGAGGGTGAAAGCACTGCAATCGATTCCAAGGCGGAAGATCAGGGAGAACCGAAGGAGTTGACAGAAGCGGCTGAAGGTGAAGACCAGGGTGGTGCAAGCAAGGCTGACGAAGGAACCGGTCTGAAATTGATGGCGCAATACAAGGTTGCGTGCTTGAACTGTGGAGTTCAACTTTACATTGAGCTGCCGCCGAATTGTGCGAGCTTTCAATGCTGCCAGTGTCATGCTGTCCACAAAATCCTTCAGCCGGATCCCTCGTTGGCAGCAGGCGACAGTAAGAAAAGGAAGCGGAAAGAGAAGCGAGACAAGAAAGAAGGTGAACAGTGCTACCCCTCCTCTCTCTGCATAGCATCGAGATGCTTTTCTTCCTCTGACTTTCTCACGTTCAAAGACAAGGAGCCCCGTGAGCTGTCAGGATACAACAAGTTCATGAGGACCCAGCTCAACATCCTCAAGGAGACGAACCCAGAGTTAGGCCACAAGGAGATGTTCAAGCTTGCGACAGAGAAGGTGCGGAGAGGAGGAGGAGAAAAAGAGAAGACAGGTGGGGGCAAAGTAGCAGAGGGGCCCGAGAGGGGAGGCTGACAGAAGGAGTCGAGGATCGAAGGAGAGTGTCAACAATAGCTGAGGAAAGGATGTGGAGAGGAGGCTGAGGTGGGAGGCTGAGGCTAGAGAATGACTATCTTGCAGTGGGCGACCAGTCCTGACAACCCCAAGAATGCTGCGCCGCAGGGACAGGAGGAAGGCAAGAAGCCCTTGGAAGGCTCGGAAGGCCTGGTGAAAGACGACGAAAATGATGAGGACAAAGATGAGAAGGAGGAGGAGGACGACGACGACGAAGGGGCAAGCGAGTCTCAAGGAGCCCAAGCGGAAGCGACGGAAGGAGACAAGGAAGCGCTGAAGCCTGTGCAGGTAGGGGCTGAGAGCTCCTAGGGCATCGTCACTCCCTGCTCCTCCTTGTTGTGGTCTTTCGCTCTCAGCAGGTCCTCACGTCGGCTTCAGTAGTGCTGCGCTCGCTCCTGGCGGACAGGATTGAGGCAGGCAGAGGGGGCAGGGAAAAGGAGACGAGGCTGCGAGGAGAGAGGCGGAGAAGATAAAGGGTATAATGAAGGAGAAGAGTATGCACACTGAGACAAGCTCGGAGACAGGCCAGTGAGACGAAGGGAGGAAGGGAAGGGGAGGAAACTTCAGGAGGAAGCAAGGTAGAAGAGGAAGATACTACAATCATCATTGTAGAAGGGGGGAGTGGAATGAGGGCTGATGAGAAGTTAGGAAGAATGGCCCGGACTCCTGCAGGTCTAGCTCTACTAGGCTGGGCCGCGACGCTAGCCTCAGCTGGACGGACCTGAACGGCGCCGTACCGTACGGTATGGTCGCTGGCTGTCACCGTGGCACGCCGCCGACCCCAGCACCAGCAGTGACGGTGCAGTGCCACCGGGGGTTCAACTTGCAAGACGGTGACTGTGGCCCAGTGGCGTGCTACGCCGGACGGTGGCCGTCGGTGCCCCGCCACCGTGAGCCTCGGAGGCCGGCCCGAATCATCGGCCAGTCCGCCGGACGGCCAATGTGATCGGACCGCATTCGAGCCAATCCGATACCACTGCCGGGGTACAGGCGAGGCCCGGTTCAACTTCAGTCAGTGCGGCGGCCGGGCGGCCGCCGCGTGTGCCCGGCACCGCCGTGGCAGCGGGCGGCCGCCGGGCCGGCGTGAACTCACTGAGTCAGTTCGGAAGCCTTGAAGCCTAGCCCGGCCGCCATCCGGACCGTTAGGCCCGGCCGCGCAGGCGGCTCGGCCCGGGAGCCGCCGCCGGGGCCGCCACACTGACAGGCTTGACAGTAGCCTAGTAGTCACGCGGCGGCCAGCGCTGAGCGACTCTGAGCCGAGAGTCACACATGACGAGATTTGAGATTTTTAAATCTTGAAGTAAACATTGAAAACTTCTCTTTTCGATATCTAGAAGCTCCCGGGATTCGGGAAGGGACGTCACGTGCCTTCCAGCTGAATTTGAAGGGTCAAACATGAACATCTGTTATTAAATTTGAAAATACATCTGAAGCAATTATTCAGTTTTTCAGTTATCTACCAAAACCTGGATTGAATCTCACAGTATCAGTTTAAACTTACATCGGAATATTTCGCAAATTGGACATCCGAAATCTCGGATACAATTTGCTCTCGTGCGTGTAAAAAAGAAACTCGATTCTCAGGGGCATGGATCACTACGGGTACTTTATCACTACTAAGTAGGGGTACTTAAAGCTGTTGCAAGAGTCCATCCCTTCACGAGTCTCAAAACTACAGAAAGGGATCCTCCACCCCACCCCCTATTACCTAATGTTCTGCTGCTCAAAGGTACCCCTTCTTTCATATACCTACCCCCCCATGATATCCAAACGCACCGGGTGGTCTCCCTTGTATGGGACTCTATTAAAACCTGCTCCCGCCCTCCCTGCCCCACTCACTCGCTGCGATGGCGTCGGTTGCTGCTGCTCCTACTGCTGATGCTCCTGTCGATCAGAAGACTCTCCCCAAGACTCTCAGTTTCGACAATGTGGAGTTCATGTCCGCCAACATGACGGGATCCTCCGTCGATCCCAAGGCAGCTTCCTCTATCTCTGAGGCCCTCTCCGCCCTCGGAGGTAAGGCTGGCAACGACGCCATCAAGGCCGGAGCTGAGCTCGGCCAGCTCGTCAAGGCTGCGGGTGTGAAGGCGTTTGTGGAGTGTGGGGTCGTCGAGCACCTCCACAAGCTCATTGAGGACCGCAGCACCGCCGAGCCCGCGCTCTATGCCGTCAAGGGATGCGCCGAGGCTGTCGGTGCTAAGGCCGAGCCCTTCCTCGTGCCCTTCATCGCTCCGATCCTCTCGTGCGTGGCGGACAAGAAGAAGGCTGAGGTCCGCGCTGCCGCTGAGGCTGCCGGCCCTGCCATCATCGAGATCGTCTGCCCTCAGGCGATCAAGAACGTGCAGGGCATGCTCTTCGCGGGCATCGCCGAGACCAACTGGCAGACCAAGATGTGGTCCCTCCGCCTCCTCGGGCAGCTCGCCGAGAAGTCGCAGGTTCCTTTCTCCCGCTCCCTCTACCAGGTCATGCCTGTTGTCTCCGCCGCCATGTGGGACAGCAAGAAGGACGTGAAGGATGCTGCCGAGTACGCTACCCTCAAGGCCATGGAGACTTGCCAGAACAGGGATATCCGTCCCTTCATCCCTGCTGTCATCCAGTCCATCAAGAACCCTGAGGAGATCCCCGAGACTCTCCACAAGCTCTCCTCCACCGTCTTCGTGCAGTCGGTCGACAACCCTGCGCTCTCCATCACCGTTCCTATCCTCATGCGTGGCTGCAACGAGAAGAAGATCGAGTCGAAGCGCCGTGTCTGCGTCATCGCCGACAACATGTGCAAGCTCATCGACTATGCGCACGAGGCCACCACCTTCCTTCCCGAGCTCCTACCCGCCATCGAGCGCCTCTCCTCTGAGATGTCTGACCCCGAGGCCCGATCTGTGGCTGCCCGCGCCCTCAAGACTCTCAAGAACATCAAGGAGAGCGCCGAGGCCTTCGAGGCGTCAAAGAAGATGGAGCCTGAGGACGTGCTCAAGGTCCTCGAGGAGGCCATCACCGCCAACGTCCCGGGCACGAAGCTCGACGACAAGACTTTCCGGGTGTCGCTGGAGTACGTCGCCTGCCTGCTGTCTGGCATGATCGATGGGATGCTGTTCGAGGAGGAGCAGTGGAAGTTCGAGGGCGTCTGCCCCTACCTTGCTCCCTTCATGCCGCAGGCTGACGCCGAGGCCGTCTGCAAGGCCGTGTACGCCCAGTGCTACAAGGCTTGCGTGCCCAAGGACGCGGCTGAGGACGAGGATGATGAGGGAGAGGATCTGTGCAACTGCGAGTTCTCCCTCGGTTACGGAGCCAAGATCCTGCTCAACAACACCCGCCTTCACTTGAAGCGCGGCAAGCGCTATGGCGTGTGCGGGCACAACGGATGCGGCAAGTCGACCCTGATGAAGGCAATCGCCAACGGGCAGGTTGAGAACTTCCCTCCTCCCGACGTGCTCAAGACCGTGTACGTGGAGCACGACATCCAGGGCGACCTGTCGGACCTCAACATCGTCGACTACGTGTGCAAGCTTGTCCCTGAGAGGTCCAGGGATGACATCATCTCCAAGTTGGACGAGTTCGGCTTCAAGGCTGACGACTCCTCCCCTGCCAACATCAACGCCTGCATCTCGGGCCTCTCCGGAGGGTGGAAGATGAAGCTCGCGCTCTGCCGCGCTATCTTGATGAACGCGGACATCCTCCTCCTCGACGAGCCGACCAACCACTTGGACGTCAAGAACGTGGCATGGCTGGAGAACTTCTTGACGAGCCAGGACAAGGTTACCTCCCTCATCATCACTCACGACTCCGGCTTCCTTGACCGTGTGGTCACCCACATCATCCACTACGAGGAGAACCGCAAGCTCAAGAACTACAAGGGCAACTTGTCCGCCTTCGTCAAGCGCGTGCCCAGGGCCAAGACCTACTACGAGCTCAGTGATGAGAACATCAGCTTCACCTTCCCCGAGCCCGGCCTCCTCGACGGCATCAAGTCCAAGGGCAAGGCGATCATCAAGATGGACCGCTGCACCTACACCTACCCAGGGCGCGACAAGCCCACGGTCCGCAACATCACTCTGCAGGCGTCGTTGTCTTCCAGGGTTGCGGTTGTCGGACCCAACGGAGCTGGCAAGTCGACCATCATCAAGATGTTCTGCGGGGAGACGAAGCCGACCGAGGGCACCGTGTGGCGCCACCAGAACATGCGCGTCGCCTACGTTGCTCAGCACGCGTTCCATCACTTGGAGAACCACCTTGACCAGACGCCAAACGAGTACATCCAGTGGAGGTACAGCTCGGGCGAGGACAGGGAGGCCAACGAGCAGGAGGCGAGGAAGATGACCAAGGAGGAGGAGGACAACCTCGAGAAGGTCCACGTCATCCGCAACGACGACGGTACCGTCGAGAAGCGTATCATCGAGGCGCTGAGGTCTCGCCGCAAGACGAAGCGCTCCTACGAGTACGAGGTCAAGTGGCTCAACAAGTCGGAGGAGAACAACTCCTGGATCGAGCGCGAGAAGCTCGAGGAGATGGGATGGGCTAAGATGGTCCAGCGCCTCGACCAGCAGGAGGCGCTCAGGGCTGGGCTTGCCAGCCGCCCGCTCACCACCAAGTTTGTTGAGAAGCAGCTCGGCGACATGGGCCTGGAGGCTGAGTTTGCTACTCACTCTCGCATCCGAGGCTTGTCGGGAGGACAGAAGGTCAAGGTGGTGATCGCTGGTGCTATGTGGAACAATCCTCATATCCTGGTTATGGACGAGCCCACCAACTACCTCGACCGCGACTCCCTCGGGGCCTTGGCTGGAGCCATCCGCAAGTACGGAGGAGGCGTCGTTCTTATCTCCCACAACCGCGAGTTCACCGAGGCTCTCTGCCCCGAGCGCTGGGTTGTTGAGAATGGAGAGCTGCGGCGCGAGGGAGAGGTTGCCGCGGATGAGAAGATTGACGCGAGCGCCAACGAGGCTCCTGACGAGGTGATGGACTCGCTCGGCAACGTGATCAAGGTGAAGAAGGAGAAGAAGCTGTCTGCTCGCGATCAGAAGAAGCTTGAGAAGAAGAAGGCTCAGCGAAGAGCCGCCGGCCTCCCCTCCGACTCCGAGGAAGATTAAGACGAAGGCTGCTGCTAGCGTATCCTTCATGATGCAATAAAGTACTTGCTCTGCTACAATTCTGCTTGTCCTTTCCTTTGAGCTTCACTTGTCAGTGAAACCTTGTACGTCTCAATCATCATCACAGTGGTTTGCTTTCGCTCTCCTTCTCTGGCATCTTCCTCCTGTGCTCTGACTGTTTGATGTTTCTTCTGTATGTTTGCCCTGTCGCTTTTATCGTCTGCTCAACTCTACTCACATCCCTCTCCCCAACATCTTCATCCTCATACTCTCAGTCGATCGCCTTCGCCCTACAGGCCAAGAGGGGTGGGTGGATAAAGCCGAAGTGAGATGCAAGCAGGGAAGGCAGGGAAGGTGAGGGAAGGGAAAGGAAAGGGAGGGGGAGGTAGGGAAGAGAAGGAAGGGAAGGGGAGGGAAGAGACGGAGAGCGAAGGGAAGGGGAGGCTGGCTGGCTGGCTGGCTGGCTGGCAGTTGAGGTTGGAGGGAGGGAGGCGAGGGGAAGGTCGAGGAGGGGAGTGCGAGAAAAGAGAAAAACTTACGAGAAATAAAAAGAAACCAACAAGGAACAGCTCATCATTGTCACCCTCTCCTCCCCTCCCCTCGTCTCACTGGCCTGTCTCCGAGCTTGTTTCAGTGTGCATACTCTTCTCCTTCATTATACCCTTTATCTTCTCCGCCTCTCTCCTCGCAGCCTCGTCTCCCTTTCCCTGCCCCCTCTGCCTGCCTCCATCCTGTCCGCCAGGAGCGAGCGCAGCACTACTAGAGCCGACGTGAGGACCTGCTGAGAGCGAAAGACCACAACAAGGAGGAGCAGGGAGTGACGATGCCCTAGGAGCTCTCAGCCCCTACCTGCACAGGCTTCAGCGCTTCCTTGTCTCCTTCCGTCGCTTCCGCTTGGGCTGAGACCCTCCTCCTCTTTTTCTTCCTCCTCCTCCTCCTCCTCCTCCTCCTCTCCTGCTTCTCCTGCTTCTCCTGTTTCCCGTTTGTCAGCATCGTCTCTAGCTTCATACTTCCCTGCCCCTGTCCAGTTCTTCTTGCTCCTTCATCCTCACTTCAGTGTCTCCGTCCTGTCTTAGCTTCTTGTTGTCCTCAAGTCTGGTCTGCTACCGCAGAGTCTTCTCCTTCACAAACTCTTCTCCCCTTCATGGAGCCCTCGTCTCCCTCACTTCTATCCCCTTCGAACTTTCCCCGCCCTGCTCCCCCCCCCCCCCGCCCGCCCCCCACCTTCCCTCAATCGAAATTCATCCTCTTTTGTCACAGATCATCGAACGAATTACCTTGCGGTGCGTGGATAATTGAATAGGTGGAATATCTCAACAGTCATTCTCGGCAAAGATGTATCGTATCGTTTGGAAGACGAGAAGGGCGAGCGCGAGGAGTATTGATAAATCAGAGCGAAGAAATCCAAGATAAGAAAAGTCGAGGACGAGGAGGACAAAGTTATGTTGACTGGGAGGAGGTGGCGAGGCAGGAAGGGGGAGAAGTAATGTAACAATGTAGTAGGAAGGAGAAGAAAGGACCAGAGGTCTATGCGACGTCGGGAGGGAAAGGGGGACGGAAGAGGCAAACGAGGTTGTGTGTCGGGAGGAGAAGGGAGGGGGGAAGGGGCCTGATGTTTAGAGTTCACAGTAGAATCCAGCTCATGATGCAAGGTCCAACTCTTCCTCCCTCCGTCCGACCGTTTCCTTCTACCCCTCCTATCCCTCCCTCCCCTCCCTCCCTCCCTCCCTCCTTCCCTCCCTCCCTCCCTCCCTCCCTCCCTCCCTCCCTCCCACTTGCTCTCGTGGTCTGTTCTGTCGGGGCGACGGCCAAGGAGCTGATTGTCCTCGTACTGATGTTTCACTTAACTTTGAGTAAAAGAAAACGAGAGGGCCGGCGGTCCCTCTGCCTCCGACGGCCAATCACTGAGGGGATGTGGTCATCCGGTTTCGCGGTACACATAGGCCACAACGCCCCTTGGTAAGTGTGGGCAGGCGCGACGAGGAAGGAAGGGGTACAGGGGAGGTGTAGTGGAAAAAGAGGGGTGGTAGAAACAGAATGGATCTAGCAAGGGGAACCAGATACCATAGGTAGGAGATAGAGACAAATTTAATAGTGACAGACATATGGAATATGAAAGCATTGACTATGATTAATACACTCTACTCGACACAGGATTGTGCTTAGGGGTGGTCCCAAAGAAGGTCAAAGGTGGGGTAGGCGGTGACGTTGCTACTGGAGATCCCGCCAGATCAGCACAGGTATATTTCACAAGGAGTTTACAATACTCATACCAAAATTTGAAAATACAAGATTTATACGAATTTTTATTCGGGGACCTTTGAACATTGACACCTTCCAAGCAGGTCCCTAGCATGTTTGAACATGGGTGGGTGTGGAGTAAGGATTAGATTCGAAGGTATGGTACTGTACTTCAAAGAAACAATGAATAAGATACTAATAGATTTCCTCTATCCCTTGACCCTGGCAATCTGCCATTCCATCCAGGTCTATTCTTCCTTTCTTCCTTGCCCTACAGACCACCCACCAGCTACCTCTCGGAATGACCACCCCACCTCCTTTAAAATTGACCCTACCCTGGACGTGGCAGATCCCAAGTGACTACGCCTGATGTGTGTGGTACAGGAGGTGGGGTCATGGGTATGAGGATTTGTATTGGGGTGGGATAGTGTCTCTGTTTACTTTCATGAAGGTAATATGATGCCTAATATCATCCTTAGCTCATTCAAATATTATTGCAGCTAGAGGTAGTCTTACGGAAGTCCAAAAGTTTGCTTGGATTGGGGTGGGGGTCATGGGTCAGTGCAAGGGTGAGGGTGGGGCGTATTGTGTCCAAAGCCGTCGTAGAGGACCCTACCAATCTTTTTGGACTACCCCACCTACAGACAAACCCATAACCCCCGTCTTTTACTTTTCTCCAGGGGGTGGAGTACCCCTTTAAAAAGATTTTTTTAATTTTCCCGCCGTCCTGGCAAACTCGTGACCCCCTACCCCACCCCTCTCGGCCAACCTCTGGGATCACCTTCTGGTGATCTACCCCTTCATTTCCCCGAGAATCCCTCTATGAAGTACTGGTGTCATTTGAACCCACCCTACGTTTTTCTCCCCTGGTAGTGACCCCTAGTTCTAAGGAAGACCACCCCCAAAGATACAACCCCTACCCAACTAGCAGCTCAAGTACCTAGGCGTGTTCTGATACCCACCCCAGACTTTCTTGAAAAAACTCAGTGATCTGAGATACCGGTGAATTTACCTTTTGAAGTACCGGTAATGATACTGAAAAGCAGCACCTACCCTGACTAAATGTGGACATACGAAAATGGACCCTACCCTCTATGAAGATCACCCCCTTTAGAGGTACCCCAACCTTATCCCCTAAAGGGTTCCCCTGCCACGCCTGAATAGCCTCCTGATCTCCCTTGCCCCTCGTCCTGCCCCCCTTCATCCCTGCCTCCTCCTCAGTTCTACCCATCCTTACTCTCTCCTTCCTCTCCGCCTGCTCTCTGCAGGTTCTTGCCTCCGCTCTCACCAGTGATCCTGTTGCTGGATTGAGTTCGCGAGCGCTCTAGTTTCTTTCCTGTCCCTCTGTAGCACAGATAGCAAGATGGGTCCCGTAAAGGTTTTGGGCCGCCTGGTCCACAAGATTGCGGACATGACCATGTTCAAGATTGTTGGAAATGACTACACCTACATCTACAATGTGTCTTGGGTGAGTGCCAGAAGGAAAATACGATGGGAAAGTCACTTTAGTTCGTACAGGAGGATCCTCGTATCGACCATACCGTGCTCAAGTGCACCAAGGACGATCACGTGATCACCATCGCATCTGCAGGTAGCCCAAGAGTCGCCCTTGGCTGCGGTTTGTTGACTGCATTGCTTGCAGGGTGCAACGCCTTCGACTACCTCATCGAGGGTGCTCGGGTTACGGCGGTGGACTTCAACGGAGCTCAGATTGCATTGACGGAGGCCAAGGCGGCATGCTGCCAGCACATCGAGTTCGAGGAGTTCTTCCAGATCTTTGCAAAGAACGACATTGATCTGTTCCGCCGCAAGTACTTCGAGGTGATCCGCTCTCACCTGAGCATGCCCTCCCAGAGGTTCTGGGACAGCCACATCAAGAGGTTGGAGAGACTTGGCTGTGACTTTGTGATCGTTGACAATCTCCTGCAGCCTCAAGTCCGTCCTCTACTCGGGAACCTCCGGGTTCTTGGCCTGGTTGATCTGCCGCGTGATCTTCCGGTTCTTGGGCCTCGGTTTCATCCGACGCACTGTAGTTGAGGAGCAGAGCTTGGATGCCTTGCAGTCTGAGTGCAAGAAACATCAGAGACGCCTCAAGGTGTTCTGCTGGGTGGTGGACAAGCTGATCTCCAACCTGGGAGGTGCCATGCTTGCTGGCGTGCCTTCCCGACAGCTCGAGCTCGGCCTTCACCGCACGGACAACTTCCAGACTGTGTTCAAGAGGATCTGCTCGACGGACCTTGTATGCCCCTGAGCAAACCTGTGAGCAGGTCTGATCAGATGAGTGCAGGTCCATGACAACTACTTCTACTACGGCTACATCGCTGGAGAGTACTCGGAGACATGCTGCCCTCAGTACCTCAAGAGGGACAACTTCTACAAGCTCCGTGAGGCCCTCAACGCCGGTCGCCTCTCGCTCTTTGAGGGAACCCTCGTTGATGTCTGCAAGAAGGTCTGTTGATGCCCATGTTCGTTACTGTCCTGACATGACGATCAGCGTCCTGAGGCTGTGTACACCGTTGCGTCCCTCCTCGACCACATGGACTGGATGCCTCCTTTCATGATCAACGAGGAGATGTACTGGCTGCAGCAGCGGATGGACCCGAAGCGCGGCAGAGTGTTCTGGCGCTCCTTCTCTGAGGGTGTCCACTCCGCCCCCCTCGGTGAGTCGATGTGCCGATCGATCGTCAGTCTCTGACCCGCGCAACAGTTTGGTTGAAGCCGATGAAGGTCGACGACACCGGCGATCGCGTCGCCATGTACTGGAGCACCTGGATGGCCAAGATGGATGGTTCAATCCGCTTCGACCTCCGCACTCGCAACTGGCCGACCACCCAGACCAAACCTCAAGGGTTCTTCTCCCAGCTCTCCACCGGGATCAAGATCGTCACGTTCCCCTTGATGAAGGGCATGATTGCTCGCAGGGTTGCGCAGAAGCACAACATCGCCGAGCACGCGTCCAAGATGGAGGCCTTCTATGAGTCCCAGAAGGACGAGTACGATGCCTTCCGTGAGAACTTCCTTCATGCCAGGTCGTGGCTGGCGGACTGCATCCCCCTTAAGGAGCAGAAGATGGTCTGGATCGACGTGGGCGGCGGCACCGGACGTAACCTCGAGTTCTTCTCCGTCAAGACCATCCGCGAGAGGTTCTCCAAGATCTACGTCGTCGACGTCTCTCTCTCCCTCCTCGAAGTCGCTCAGCGCCGCGTGGAGGCCGCGGGTCTCAAGGACATCGTGGAGTGCGTGTTCTGCGACTTCACTGACAAGAAGATGGTAGCGGAGAAGCTTCCTCTGCACGGCAAGTGCGACCTCGTGACCTTCTCCTACTCGCTCTCCATGATCCCAGACAAAGTCGGAGCCCTCGACACGGCTGCGGAGCTGCTCAAGCCCAAGGGCGAGGGCATCTTGGGAGTCGCTGACTTCTACTATGGCGGCGGACGTCGGGCATCGCGCGGGAAGGGAGACAAGGACGGCATCACCAACATCCTCACCAGGATCTACTGCGAGGCCACCAGGCTGTGGTTCAAGCAGGACGGAGTCATCCTCCTCAAGCAGGATGTCTTCGACGCTATGCGCTTCAAGTTCGACTTCGATGCGGTGCCGGATGAGAAGTTCCGCCGCCGCGTCCCCCTCCTCCCGATCTTGCGACCATGGCACGGCGTGGTAATGGCGCCGACAAGGTAAACGACAACACAACAACATTCAAACTTGCTTATTCTATTGAGACACATCTATGATGCACCATATTTGATTTGCTTGATCTTTTAGTTTCATTGAATTTTGCTGTCAAACTTGAGCTACTGAGCTCCTTGGCGACGAAGACTCGGCGGCCCGTACCGTTACTCGACTGAGTCGAACTCGGAAGGTTCAGCAGCTTCCGAGTTCCCCGGACCGTACGGTACGGTACCGCCCGGCCCGGCGCTGAGCCTCTCCGACTGTCACCGGGCTGGCCGCACTCAGTGGCACTGCCGGCAGCCTGTGAGCCTCCGAGGCTCCGAGGCTGGCAGTGACTGCGGCGGACTGAGAACATGAACGGAAGCCTTCAAGCAAGGCTGACGAAGGGCCGGGCTGTGACTCAGACGGGCGGCACGTGACCGCGGGCCGCAGCGATCATCGGCGCCGGGACCGTACTACTGGGCTAGGCTCACCGGGTGACTGAGGGATGCTAGGCTACTGCCGAACTTGCTATTAGCGATTATGTAACGGCTGAAACGGTTTTGCGCTGACGCAGACTGAAAGCCTTGGGCCTTGGGTATGGAAGGAAAGAGTGAGGGTAGAGGAGCGAAGCAAGAGAGGAGAGGAGAGACCAGCAGCGGGAAAGTAGCAAGGGATATCTGAGAAACAGAAGAGAGGAGAAGAGGAGAGAGATTGAGAAGCAACAGAGAGGTCCCGGAGGGGTACAAGTGAAGATTCAATTGGAAGATCTGTTCGTCGGGAGCTTCAGGTACATCGACTCTGTCACGAGAGCTTCAATCTCCCTCATGACCTGGGGATCATGCGATGCTCTCCCTGTGAAGCTTGAAACTGACTCAGTACACAGCTGAGGTGACATCGCGATTTCTTGCCATCAGAGGAAGCGAAATGGAAGACAATCAAACTGCTCAAGAGATGAACCAAGAGGATGCAGCTGCTGCATGGCGAGCGGCCAGGACCCAGAAAAGCTGCTTGCATTCGGGCAAGGTTGGACAGAAAGACTCGGACGGGGAGAAGTGGACGACGCTCGAGGCGACATGGCGAGTGGGAACGCTTCCCTTCCGGTCTTTTCCTGGTTTCTCTTGCGCTGCTCGAGCATGACCTCTAGCAGGCTGGCGCACAACAAGCTCGCAACGAATTGGAAGGGGAGGACGAGGTCCACATGGAATGGGAGACTAGAGCAGGTGAAACGCGAGTAGCACGGGAAGCGAATTTCGTGACTTGGTATCTCATAAGGCTGTTGCAAGCTTGAAAACTTACGGGAACAACACTCCTCACTCTGTCTCAATGATTCGCATGATCTTGGACAGCGTCATCACCTCTTCATGCATCCCAGAGGGCGTCAACAGGATCTCACAGGACCTGGGAGGATGCCTGAAGGTTAAAACACATGATGTTTTGAGAAAAGATGCTGACGTCTCGCCTCTCCCCCGCCCTCAGGTGTGGTGGTTCTTTCCTGAGACCCTCAGACATCAAGCAGAAGCCGAGCGCTTCATCTTTTACGTGCATGGCCCTACGGCAAGCCCCAGCTCGAGCGCTCATCGAGACCTCGTCTCCAGGTTTTCCTGCTGGGCTCGAGATGTTCGATGACTGCTCTCTCCAGGATTGCTCTCGATGCTCATGCTGCGGTTGTCCTCGTGGACTACAGGCGCACACCAGAGAACACCAGGGAGGAGAGCCAGGAGGACATCAACAAAGCTTTCCGGTGAAGTCACGGATGAGGATTCTAAAAGGTTGTGACGTCAGCGCCAGGTGGTTCATAGAGCAGCCCGGGGTGTGTCCGGCAAACCTTCTTGTGAGTCTTGACGTCTTCACCTCCTCCCCTCGCCCTTGCACTGAACGCTCTAATGGTACAGGTGGCGTGCGATGGGCTCGGGGCCTCGCTAGCCATCAACTTGCTCTGTGAGATACGTGACGAGAGGACGAGAGGGGGTGCAGACCTGCTGCCTGCGGGCCTCGTCCTCATCTCGCCTTGGGTAGACCTCGCAGAATCCAGCGGGAGCAGGTAACAAGCATGCAGCATGTGTAGCTTCTAAACTCCTGCTTCCACAGCTGGGAGAAATTCTCATCTGTTGACTGGGTATCGAAGCGAATCCAAAGCTTCGTCGCCGCAGACTACGCTGGGCTGCTTCCGCTTACCGATCCTCTCGTCTCTGCAACCCTGGCTGACTTCAAAGGATTTCCTCCTGTCTATATCTCCGTCGGGCAATGCGAAGTGTATCACGACCAGGTCAGCTTACAACGCTCACCCCTCTCTCCCTGCTCACTCGCTCTGCTCCAGATCGTCGCCCTGTCGGAGAAGATGCGAAATGCCGAGCTTATCGTCGAGTTGGACGAGGCACAGGATATGGTTCACTGCTACCAGTTCTTCTCAAGGTTGAAGCCCCCCCAACCCATCCGATCTCCTCTGACCTCCCACAGCCTACACTCGGCGTGTGCCGCCGGCATTCTTCGGATCGCTGCGTTTGCAAGGAAGTTCGCCCCCGGCCACCTGAGGTTGTCGACTGAGCAGGTAAAGATCCGATGAGGAGATGAAAAGAACCCCAGAGTTATGTCAAGATGCAGGTAGATGCCATTATAGCCCAAGGACAGGCCGGCAGGTACGACAAAGCAGATTCGTTGTCTTGTGCTCACTTTTCGTTCTCAGTGATGTATTCAAGCCACCACCAGCAGAGGGATAACATGTAGAGGAAAGCTGAAGAGATAGAGAGGCATCGTGATATGAGTTGGAAATAAATGATTCTTCTTGTCGACAACCCAATACTCATATGCATGTCTCAACTTCCCTGCAGAGGGTTGAAATCAAAGAGTTCAAAACTTCCTTGTAACAACTTCTTTACTATATCAACATCAAGATTACCTCGGACGCTCTTCCTCCTCACATTCTCACTGCTTCGCTCTCGCTGGGATCAATCTCAGCCTGTGCTGACCCCGATATCTCCAGTATGAGTGTACCAGTAAGTAACTTCCTGCCCTATCTGGTCCTCCTCTCCATCTCTCACGTCCTCTGGGACTGCTAGAGGAGCTCCAAGCCAGTCGTCTCCTCCCAGCAGGTTCTGCATCCTCCCTCCCCTCCTCGCAGCCACCATCCCCCATAGCGAGATCAGCATGCCGCCTCTTCACGGCACTCCACTCCTACTACTAATTTAACTTAACTTTGAGTAAAGAGCCGCCTAATCACTGCTGTAGGATCACCGGGTCCGATGCCGCTCACTGGCGGCAGGCCGCCCGGCCGCCGCGCCCTCAGCGCCGGAGGGCCACCGGGCCATCGGCCGCGCGCGCGCGCGGCGGCCGCACGGTCGCCGGCCCCGGGTGCGCCGCCGCCGCCGTACTAGTACCGTAGCAGTACGGTAGTACCCGGTACCCGTTTATCAGTCACTGAGTGCACCGTGCACTGATAACGGCGACCGGGTCGCCGCCGCCCGCCAGGCCCTGCCGGGCCCGGTACCACCGGGTGATGGAGCGTATGCCAGCCAGCCGCCGTGCCAGTCAGATCAGATGAGATAGCGCCGACTCCCGTTAACAAAAACTCTCCTCAGCGTAAACCAAGACGACTCAGTACGTGTTTCGGCCCTCGGAGGCGGCCAATGTAACGTGTGGGACCGTCAGACCGTAAGAGGGGGCTTGCCTAGCCGTCTTGCTAAGGTCCTCTCATGTCTGGATGATGCTTGGGTCACAGTTCCGACATCCTAGCATACCGTCGCAGTCTACTCAGTGATCCGAGTCTCAGGCATGTGCTCCCCGGGCCTCAATTCTGACTCTCGTTTTGTGTGGCATTAAACTCGGTCTAAGCAAAAACTGTCACTTGTTACAACTAAGATCGCCGGGATGTGATATCTGCGTGACTTTGGCCCTAATACAAGTCACATGATAACAAACTTGTATTCCGTCACCGGGGCCGGGCCGGGCCCGCTCAGTGCCGCCGCCCGGGCCCCGCCGAGTCGCGGCCCGAAGCCACCGGCGTTCACAGTCACTGTGTCGGGAGTCACGGGCCTGGCCTTTCGCCTTACCGTCAGTACCGAGGACACTGATAGGCTCGATCTACGGTGACCAAGGTTTACTGGAACAATCATGAAGCCGGCCCCGCGGTACTCAGATCTGACCGGGCCTGAGGGCCAAGCCTGGGCACTGTGAGCAGGGCCCGCCGCGGCCGGAGCCGCCCAGGCTAGTGAGCCTCTGGCACAGCAACCCGCGACGGTCACTGTTGAAAGCCGCCGAGCCTGGCTCAGTCCAGGCTACGGGCCCGGTTCAACATGAACTCGAAAGCTCTGATCGCGGGGACTCAATAACAGGCGGCCGGGTTTTCCGAAGTTCAATCATGCGGCCATGCCGGAGTCCGCCGTGACAGTCCCGGATGCTACTAGTGTCCATCCGAGTGACTTAGCCTGTCACGATGGTTTGGACCCCAAGCAGAGGCCGGGACGGTCGCACCGAGAGCACGATGATCAGATCAACGCAACGAACGAGAGGAGCAACGAGACGGCGAGCAGCTTGAGCCCGCTGAGGCCAGACAACGTTGAAGTTCCACTCGGTGTTGCAGGCGGGGCGACAGGTGCCGGGGCAACTGGGCTATCGGAAGGCGGGGCCGGGGAGTTGGTCGGCGGTGGGGGGGCAGGAGTGTCGGAGTTGGCAGGAACTTCTGCGTCAGCAACAGCTGCAGGGACAGGTCAGGACAGGCCCATGAAACCAGCTCAAGAGGTCGTACCGTAGGTACTAAAATGGAAGATAGAGCTCAGGCAAGAGCAGTTGCCGATCGCTCCCTTGCTGCAGTTGCCAACTCGCTCCGGGCTGGAGGAAAAGTTGAGGAGATCGGAGACAACGACCAACTCAAGGTGCTTCAGCATGCCTTGGCAGCTCTCTGCTGTGCCTGTGGGACGTGCAGTGTCAGAGCAAGGAACTGACGACTTTGATCCTCTTGACTGCACCTAGAAGAGGGATGTCGAGCATGAGGCCTCCTTCAATTGTCAAGTCAACTGAAGGCTCGATGGTTATAACGTCGCTGACGATCTTTCCGGCTTTGAAATATTGAGCGAATGGTCCCTCTTGCAACGCTGATGAGGGAACAGGAGAAATGGTGAAGTTGACGGCATCAGATTTGTTGTCAGTTCTTCGGAAGGCATTTTGTGAGCTTGCATGCAGGGCGAAAGCCATCTGCAGTCCCACGAGAGGAAGAAGTTATCCGTCAGTCCGAGCGCATCAAGTCTCGCACATGTAAAGGACACCTTTCCATCAGAGGAGTTCAACCTGATCTCCTGGTTGCCGGTTCCTGGCATGAGCATGGCTGTACGTGGTTCCGGGGTTGGCGGACGATCGCAGGTCTGCGAACAGACAAACTGGGGCCTGTTGCAACAAAAAAAGTTAGGAAGCAAAGAGCAAACCATGGAACGGCGACGATGTACCTCTTTGAGGTAGTGTTCATGATCACCTTCCCGTCGCTGTCTCTTTTTAGCCCACAGCTCTGCAAGAAACTCATTATGTCATGACATCTTCAGACGAAAAGAAGCTCGGACCAGCAAACCATCGCTGCAGCCTGTCAGAACTTCACAGCTCTGTGCAACCATAGTTCAATTAGCATACACAACAAGGGTTAAGGTGATGGAAAGTTTCACCTCAGTGCTAGACTTGCAATAGTTCGGGTTGGAGCTGCATGCCGTAGATTGTGGTGGACAACCCTCCCAAGTAATTCCAGCTTTCGCGCAGCCTTGCAGGTTGCTGTTTCAGGCAAGTTAGTCAGTCAAACAGGATGAGGGATCAGAGGGATCTACCTCTTCTTGGTGATGCCATCGGAGCAAAGGACTTCATTCGCTCCAAGGGAAGAAGTTGGACAATCTTGTTGACTGGCAGCACAGCTCCAGTCTGCACATCGATAGGAGCTAGCATTGCATGCTACAGCAGCGGGAGCGCAAGGCAAGCCCCTGCTGCAAGAGCCTTGAGCGATACAGTACTGAAGCTCTTGGTCAGTCATGTGCAAACAAATCGAGTCAACTCACTTGGTCATTCTTTAAGGTGCATCGCATGTTCAGGGCCGTAAGATTGACGCTCATCATCGTTTCATTAAAGCAAAGTGCCATTGTCTTCACACACTGCCCTTTCTTGTCCGCCAGAACAGCATCGAATGAGGGGCACATGGTGCTCGAGGGCGGGCACATATCCCTCGATGCCATGTATTGCTGAGAGTCCTGCATACCTTGGCTCTTGTCCTCTCTGGAAGGAGGCGGTTTGCTGTCGCCCCCGTTCATGTCACCACCCGCTCTGCGGGAATCCACGTCGGATACAGTGACTGCAGCGCTTGCAGAGAGAAGGAGGACCCCGAAAGAGAGGAGGAGCATCGTCGAGCATGTCGAGACTGAGCTCATGGTTGAGGAAGCGACTCGATGCGGCTGCGCTCGTGGGCTCAGATGGGAGGAACCACAAACGTTTTTCTTATTTGATGTTTCAAGTTTTGCCCCAGGGGGTGGGGTAGGAGATAGGGGTGCGGTGCATTGAGTTCAGGGGGTCTGCTTTCTAATGATGTGACTGTTCAGTGATCCCAAGAAATGTTCACTGACATTTAAAAACTGTCAAATAGAAAATTTCAAAAATTGAACAACGATTCTTGAGTTGGCCGAACTCTGGCTGGACCGTGCTTCCGGGCCCCGGGGGGGCCAAAGTGACTACCCCACCCATTCGGGGCTCGGCGATCAGTGAGCTGAGGGATCGGGTCAACTAGGGTACGGTAGGTAGGGTACTAATAAAGACGGTAGGGTACCGTGGCGTGAGCATCCAGCTGACCTGTACCATATCCAACTAGGTCCCTTGCCAAAAGCCTATTAAGTACCGGTCCTTCCCGAGTCACGATCAGCGACCCCCCGCGCGCAGTGAGGGGCGTCAGAAACTTCCTGTCCCGTTGCCTTATTACTAAAAAAACCTCTAGTACCAGCAGAGATACAAAAATGTAACTTGACTCCGAAGCTCCGCCTGAGTGTGCCACACCGTGAGCCTCCGGACGCCGGCCGCCCGTGTCACAGTGTGTGCTGTCTAGGCTACTGAGTACTACCGTAGTACCCGTAGGCTTGCCGCGCACAAGTGTTCGGACTCGGGAGCGGCCTGCTGGTGGGCCGGCCGCCGCTAGTACCGTACTACTAATAGCCGCTGGAGTCCCGTCAGTCAGTCCGACGGTCACGGGCCGTCGGACAGTGTGTCACAGTGTGCGGGGGCCCGGGGGCCGCGTCACGGTTCGGATCAGACCCGGCGACCGTCGCTTGGCCTCGGACTCAGCGGCGGAATCCAAGGGCCATCGCCGGATGTCTCAGCACCGTCACAGCGGCGCGATGATGACGGTGACGGTGACCCGGACTCAGTGACTCGTCCGGGGCCTTCGGGCCCGGCCCGCGGGAAGGCAACTGAGCAACGTCACGGTGCCACCGTGAGTCAAGTGTACTTGACTGAGAGTCTGTGTTTTATTCGCCAGGAAGTACTACAACTAATCAGTGCTGCGAGAAGCGAGAGAAGCTTCCGACGAGGTTCACGACGCTGAGCATGAAAGCCGGGATGCCCTGAGCCAGTCCAGTCAGAGTCACAGTGATCATGTCAACTGAAGGTTGCCATAGCACCTGAAATATCATCGATGCGGGGAAAGCATTGGAGCTTCCAGCCGATGACTTCGTGTCGGTGGTCGCTGACGGCTGCGATGTGGTGGTAGTGGTGGTGGTGGTAGACGAAGACTGGTCAGAAGTTGAGCTAGTTGTAGTGGATGGAGATTGCAGAACTGAGTTCGACACGGCTGCACCGAGCAGTGTCAGCCCCCTCCCCAGTGCCTCCCTCCTCCTTGTACTCCTCCTTACCGTAGGTGCTGAAGTGGGTGATATTCACCGCACACGAGCAGTCCCCTACCGATCCCATCGAGCAGCTCCCAAGGCCCTCCGGAGTCGCACTGAAGTTGAGCAGGTCCGACACAACCACCATCTGCACGTTCTGCAAGATCTGGCTGCACATCTCCTTGCTCCCTGCGACCAGCCCTCCTGTCACATGCCCGGCCCCTCCCTCGCCTCCCGTCACGCTGCCTCACCGTCAATGGGGATGTCGATCGTCAAGCCCCCGTCGATGACAAGCGCCGCTGAGGGCTCGATGGTGATGACGCTGCTGACGATGTTTCCGGACGAGTAGAGCAGCGCGAAAGGGCCCTCCTGCAGCGCCGACGCGGAGACAGGAGCGATGGTGAAGTTGACGGCTTCTGACAGGTTGTCCATGCGACGGAAGGCGTTGGAGTGTAGCGCCTTCATCGCGAACGCAGGCTGAGCCAACAAGCCAGTCAGCCGCCTCTCCCCCCTCCCAGCAAGACAGCGTTACCGCTCCGTCCGCCGCCTTCACCTCCATCGCCTCCGACCCCAGTCCGGGTCGTAGAGCAGCGGTGGTAGGAGCAGGCTGAGGCGGCCGGGACTGACACTGCGACACGCAGGTCATGATGGGCCTGCGCGGCTCCTCCCGTCAGCGGTCAGAGCAGGACATGTCGCGACCTGTACCTGTTGGTCGAGCTGTTGTACAGGGCGACCCCCTGAGCGTTGCGCCGAGGACCGCAGCTCTGCCATACCTCCCGTCAGCGACTGCAGCCGCAGGGCGAAGCCCGCAGCGAGCCCGTACCTTCATCGTCTCGGGACACCCGGTGAGCGCCTCGCACTCCTGTCGCAGCAAGCACAAGGTCAGCGAGCTCCCGCGCAGCCGCTTCCTCTGCGAGCGACGCACATCTTGATGCTTGACGCAGATGTTGGGGTTGGCCGAGCAAGGCTTCGATCCCGGGGGGCATCCCTGCCAGAAGATCCCCATCTCCGCGCACGCTCTGAAGGAGCTGCAACAAGCCAGTCACCTCCCTGCTTCCCTCCTCCCTCCCTCCCTCCCTCCCTCCCGCTCCTTCCTGCCTCACTCGCATGCAGGCCTTGCGTACCTGGCCGTCGTCATGCCGTCGGGGCAGGTCACCAAGCCGTTGCCGCTGCTCGGGCAGCTCGCGGCATCAGCCGCACAGCTCCAGTCCGGACAGCGTACTTGCGAGGCAGAGCAAGTAGGGTTGGGAGGAGGACAAGGGAGGGAGGAGCAAGAGGCTGTCACAGCGCACCACTAGGTCATGGAGCATCGTCAGCGACAGGCAGGCAGGCGGACAGATCTCACCATCATGCCCTGCTGTTTGCAGGAGTCTCTCAAACCGTGGAACAGGGTGTTGTTGTTTCCGTAGCATTCCTTGGTGCTGTTGGCACACTGTCCTCGGAGAGGGTGAGGAACGTTTGCAGCATCGGGGCAGGCGGGCATGGAGTGAGGGCATCTGCTCATGGACTGCATGGCGTTGAGGGCGCTTTGAAACTGCTGATTCCTTTGAGCCGTGGCTGCGTTCTGCTGTCCGATGTCGGCTCTTGATTTACATCTTGTTCGGTCCACAAGCAAATAGGAGCTGTTGTAGCATTGGCAAACAGGCACGTTATTGTCGTTCATGACGCATGTAGAGAGGTGGCATGTCTAGCGAACAGGTCAAACTCAAAGATAGACGAACAGGAGCAATCAAACAAGGTGTCATATCCTTACCATGTAAGTGCAGTTCTTTGGCGGGGGCCTCATTTGAGGTGGTTGATTGTTGTGATTGAAGTCTGCGCCATTCACCGGCTGTCTAGGAGGAGGGGAGACCCCCTGTTGCTCTCTGCCCGGGGATTGCATTCCTCCGTTTTGACCTGCTGAACCTTGCTGACTCTGGACTTGGAGAAAGAGAGCGACGAGTGTCATTAGGCTGAGGAAATGTGTATGCGCCATGTCTGAAAACGATCTGACTGTCAGCAGATCAGAGGAGAATACACTTGTAGAGCAGCCTTTCTTGATCTGTACTGCTAGAGAGTCTTCAGGTCCTTATTTCTCGATGAAACTCAACAGTAACAGACCGCTGTGAAGGCTCTAGAGGAGTTTTAAGGGATCGTTTACCACCGCCAAGGCTTTTGACCAGGTACAACAGATGGGAGGTACGGCTGACGCAAGCAGGAGAGCGCGAGACCGGAGGAGTACAGAGCAAGGAGGAAGAAGACGCGACGAGGAAGCGATCGAGAGCGAAAGATCACACAGTGATATAGGGGGATCTAACTAACAACAGGTGCTCAAAGGGATCTAACTATTAACAGGTGCTGCAGCACCGTGTATGATAGGGGGGGTACTTTGCTGGTCATACACACCGGTGGTTGTTATAGGGTTTCCGCTGTTTCCATGGAGGGACCCTACCCACAGGTACCCTACCTACTGAAATCCCATTCCATAGCTGTAACGAAGAAGTCGATTGCACCGGTACTGTTGGGACTGTAACGGACATGGTTGGATAAGGTTTTGTCTTTTTTTGTAGGATAGAGAATGTCAGAGTTTGTGCCGCCGTGACAGAAAGAGTCGCTGCTGACGATGACTAGTGCGTCTGCTGTTGAACACGCTAACGGACCGTCGAGTCAGTCTCTACCCGGCCCTGGGTGAGTCACCTCTCTGATGTAAGTGTGACTCGCCAGGTCTGAGAGTGAGAGCTGAAGCTTCAGCTGCACTTTCAGTGACAGTGTGTATCAAAACTTCATTCATTCCCATTCCATCCAATGTTTTCCATCCAATCTTCACATTCTCCCAATCCATATTTTCTCTTTATAACCTAGATTCTGCATACAATCATTTCTGCTGGACCTCCGTCCAACGCATGGTGATTCTCACATGCCTTTCATTTCTCTTGCTCTTCCTGACCTCATCATCACACACCAGAGACCAGGTGCTGCAGCGCTGGTTTGCGCTGTACATACGGTCAGCTGGCTCCACGCCAGCGTCACAATCGTTCAAGTCTCAGACGGGCGCCTGGCATTCTTTCAAATCCTCTTACAGGGAAGCCTCAACTGATGGAGTGGTACGGGTCTGATCTGCCGATCTGCCCTGCTTCAAGAGCAACGCTGAAGAAGAAAATCAAATGACCAGTAGGCGAGCTGCGAGGATAACAAAAACCTGAAAGCTCTTTGAAATTTTGCAACTGTATTTGTGCAAACTTCGCTCTGTCCAGTTCCTCAGGGTTGGGGACGTCATCTACAGGCATTCCCTTGCCTTGTAGATAGTTTCGCTTCTGTTCAAGAAGCTGTACCACACAGAGTTGTTTAGATTTGCCTCATCGAAATGCATGGCCGTTGAACTAACCTTTGCATATCTTTGGCGATGCTCCTCCTCGTCATCTTCCTTTCCTGTGTATGTTGTGTTGTCTATCTCAAAACTGGAAGCTCTTCCATATCCCTTCCACAGATTTCCCTCGATCTGAAAATCAAGTCAACGGCTTGTAATTTTCCGGTGACATGTACAAATGAGTGTCGGAGGACGATTGAAGGCTGTCAGAAAGAAAACTCAGCATTAGAACATGCAGAAGAATCGTTCGAGTTGCGGTACATCATGCCATTGAGACGATTGAGGCCCTTCAAGTCCACCATGGGGTACCGACAAGAAGCCAAAGAATACGCTAGATGCATGAGTGTTTTCAATCTGAACCTGTCAGAACATCAAAGTATTGAAGAGAAAGGACGAGGGAAGCACCATGGAGTATGAGGTCGCCACCACACCAATTTCCACCTTGTTCACACGGCAATATTCTGTATTGCATTTGAAGTCAGGATGATCGCATAGCAGGTCAGGGCTGATGAGGGAGGAACGAGGGATCAAAGAGATACCAAGACAAACGCAAGAGTTGTCTGCAGCTCGAATAGCAGAGTTTGAGAAGCACTCCATCACACAATTCAACAAAGCTGCGTTGCACTGATCCTGTATGAAGATTCCCACATATCCTTCATAATTCTCGAATGCCAAACCTCCGATCTGTGAACACCGGTGAGTCAAACCTCGAGTCATGGCCACAGCATCACGCACGTAAGTCTCCGCAATAGATGCCGAGCTCGCACCATCCAGCCAAAGACAAATTCCCTATAGCAACGTCACAGGAAAGCAACTCGAAACAAGCTGTTCTCTACTTTCGAAGTCAAAATCCGGCACTTCTCAAAGTCCCAGGTGCAATTGTTCATCACGATGGTAGAGTCCTTGGCTTGCAGGCTAGAAGGCAGCGAATGTAGTGAGGCCAGCAGTTCTGTCAACCTTCCCTTGACGTCTGTTTGCAAATCTGTCTTATCCTTTTCAAAGCTAACCTCCTCGAGGCTCTTGAGATACTCCACTTTCTTCTCGTCTGCTACGGCCACGCTGCCAGACCCTTCCATCTCATGCTGCACCTGCCCAACATGCTTGAACTCGTCGCCATATCTGGAGTCGGCCAAAGGTAGCTTGTCGTTAGGAAATAAAGTTTGAAAAAACACTTCGTCGGGATCCTTGGCATCATTGTAGATGCAGGTCACCCGTTGCATGTCCCCCAATGACTGAGACTCGAGAGACCACCTACCGTACACATTGCTCCCTGTGAGCGAATCAATGGCGTCGCCAGACTTGAGGAAGTCAGGGTCTTGCACGCCTCGCAGGCTGATGGGTCTTTCTCCCAAAGTCTCGACCAGCCGAGCTTGCAGGGGCGACCTCAACACATGATCTCCAGGCTTGATGACTATAGTCTGCTCTGCCTTGCACGATATGAGCGCGTCTTGGATAGACAAGAGAGACTCTGGGTAGATCTTGATCTTGGTTCGTTCGTCAAAAACGATCTCAAGGCAGGTGACGTTCGATACATCCCATACAGCACAACTCTGATAGGCTCCGATGTCTTCCATCATTCTCGCATGCAAAGTGCTTGGGACTGGAGGTTCCGACGGTAATCCGAGGTATTCAGCAATGTCCCCAGCAGAAAAGTCAGGCTCTAGATCTTCTTGAACATCACTGCGATTGTATCTCTGTACTATCTCTTCAAATCGTTGTCGTCGACGCAATTTGTCGATTCGAGCATCTTCCTCAAATTGTTCTCTATCAATGGGATCGCTCTCAATTGCATCCTCGTCAACAAACTCGTCATCCCCTGAATCCTCTTCCATGTCATCATCCTGCTGAGTGGATCGCCTCTGATCCGAGCTCTCTGATTCCCTCGAGCTCCCCCCTCCTCTCCTGTCAGAAGGGGCTGTCCACATCGTGTCATCGGATTCCAGGGAAGATGATTGACCTCGAACGGCAGTGCCGTCTTGCATCTCATCGTTTGACTGTGAACCTCCCCTCACACCACGCAACGAAATCGAATGAAAAGGATTTCGTGGAAGTAAATTTTTCCTGCATGGGGCAGGCAACGACGAGGCTCTGAGAGAAGCCTTGATCCCCTTGGCAGGATGGCTGATATCAATAGATAATGCTGCCTTGAGAGTAGCTGCAAATATCAGCCAAAGCCATAGAGACTTCGCTACTGCAGCATCCATTTTCTTGGTAGCTGGTTGTTACTCCCTCTCAATCTTGCTGAATATCATTCTCATCTTTTCATCTCTCATCTCATCTCATCTCATCTCATCTCATCTCATCTCATCTCATCTCATCTCATCTCATCTCATCTCATCTCATCTCATCTCATCTCATCTCGTCTCATCTCGTCTCGTCTCGTCTCGTCTCAGCATGGTCCGTATGTCTCTGGCCTCAAAATTTTTGGCGCCTACCGCCAGTCCAACTCATCACCCTCATACTTTTCTGTTTTTTTTCTTTTTTTTCTGTTTTTTTTCTTTTTTTTCCCTCCACACTGTAGCCGTTGCTGTTTCCCTTGTTGCCGGATCCGTCTGGCATGCCATGATGAGGGACCAGGCCCCACCCCACCCTCCATTTGACCATCAGTACACCAAATTACAACCGGTGATCAAAGCCGGTCCATCCGATCATGTTTTCCGAGCCAAAACCTAAAGTCACCTCCTGCTCTATAGCGAGAGGGGGAGGCAGTTACTGGTGTTAGCCTTGCAGTCAAGCTCGCCTGCGTACGCACCTCTATCTTACCTTGCTTCACTCGCTGATACCTCTAGCTTCCTTCCCCCAACCACTCTCACCATTTCTTGTCGTCCGTATCCGACATCTTGTTCAACCTGATTTTGCACCCGTTGCTCCCTTTCCTTTCGGCTTCGATATCAACAGAGTACAAGAAGACCATGAGGAATGTCGCAAGGGTGTCCCTGCTGCTTGTGATCATCAACTCCCTCCGTGTCTGTGCGCAACCGCCGAATGGACCGGGAGGACACCGAGGGGGTCCACCCCCAGGCGTCAAACCCCGTCCAGCCGATTGTGCAGACAAGGTGAAAGTTCTTTCCGGCTGAAATGAGTTTGACCTGTTCGCTAGACGTGCCACCTCTCTACATGCGTCATGAACGACAATAACATGCCTGTTTGCCAATGCTACAACAGCTCCTACGCTCCCCTTCCTGATGGAAGAGGATGTATATTAAGAGCCGATATCGGACAGCAGAACGCAGCCACGGCTCAAAGGAATCAGCAGTTTCAAAGCGCCCTCAACGCCATGCAGTCCATGAGCAGATGCCCTCACTCCATGCCCGCCTGCCCCGATGCCGCAAACGTTCCTCACCCTCTCCGAGGACAGTGTGCCAACAGCACCAAGGAATGCTACGGAAACAACAACACCCTGTTCCACGGTTTGAGAGACTCATGCAAACAGCAGGATATGATGGTGAGATCTGTCCGCCTGCCTGCCTGTCGCTGACGATGCTCCATGACCTAGTGGTGCGCTGTGACAGCCTCTTGCTCCTCCCTCCCTTGTCCTCCTCCCAACCCTACTTGCTCTGCCTCGCAAGTACGCTGTCCGGACTGGAGCTGTGCGGCTGATGCCGCGAGCTGCCCGAGCAGCGGCAATGGCTCTGTGACCTGCCCCGACGGCATGACGACGGCCAGGTACGCAAGGCCTGCATGCGAGTGAGGCAGGAAGGAGCGGGAGGGAGGAGGAAGGGAGGAGGGAGGGAGGGAGGGAGGGAGGGAGGGGAAGAGGGAAGCAGGGAGGTGACTGGCTTGTTGCAGCTCCTTCAGAGCGTGCGCGGAGATGGGGATCTTCTGGCAGGGATGCCCCCCGGGATCGAAGCCTTGCTCGGCCAACCCCAACATCTGCGTCAAGCATCAAGATGTGCGTCGCTCGCAGAGGAAGCGGCTGCGCGGGAGCTCGCTGACCTTGTGCTTGCTGCGACAGGAGTGCGAGGCGCTCACCGGGTGTCCCGAGACGATGAAGGTACGGGCTCACTGCGGGCTTCGCCCTGCGGCTGCAGTCGCTGACGGGAGGTATGGCAGAGCTGCGGTCCTCGGCGCAACGCTCAGGGGGTCGCCCTGTACAACAGCTCGACCAACAGGTACAGGTCGCGACATGTCCTGCTCTGACCGCTGACGGGAAGCCGCGCAGGCCCATCATGACCTGCGCGTCGCAGTGTCAGTCCCGGCCGCCTCAGCCTGCTCCTACCACCGCTGCTCTACGACCCGGACTGGGGTCGGAGGCGATGGAGGTGAAGGCGGCGGACGGAGCGGTAACGCTGTCTTGCTGGGAGGGGGGAGAGGCGGCTGACTGGCTTGTTGGCTCAGCCTGCGTTCGCGATGAAGGCGCTACACTCCAACGCCTTCCGTCGCATGGACAACCTGTCAGAAGCCGTCAACTTCACCATCGCTCCTGTCTCCGCGTCGGCGCTGCAGGAGGGCCCTTTCGCGCTGCTCTACTCGTCCGGAAACATCGTCAGCAGCGTCATCACCATCGAGCCCTCAGCGGCGCTTGTCATCGACGGGGGCTTGACGATCGACATCCCCATTGACGGTGAGGCAGCATGACGGGAGGCGAGGGAGGGGCCGGGCATGTGACAGGAGGGCTGGTCGCAGGGAGCAAGGAGATGTGCAGCCAGATCTTGCAGAGCGTGCAGATGGTGGTTGTGTCGGACCTGCTCAACTTCAACGCGACTCCGGAGGGCCTTGGGAGCTGCTCGATGGGATCTGTAGGGAACTGCTCGTGTGCAGCGACGATCTATCACTTCAGCACCTACGGTAAGGAGGAGGACAAGGAGGAGGAGAGGAGGAGCAGGCAGGGGAGGAGACTGACAGTTCCTGCTGTCAGCTGTTGCCAACTCGTATTCGGTGTACTCGGTGTCAAGTGTGAACTCGAGTGTAACCGAGTCAACGGTCACGGTGTCTGACACCGTCACAACTACATCCTCCACCCCATCGACCACCTCGTCTACTACCTCTACCTCAACTGCGGCTCAGCAGGCCCAAACGACTTCTACGACCCCTGCTCCCAGTCTCAATAGTTCTTCTGCGACGACGATTGCTAAGGTACAAGAGGAGAGAAACAGTGAGGTTGCCAGCAATTATTCTTACTTCCTGATTGGCAGAATTTCATGTTTTCAATGTTCTTTGTCATCGTTGGAATGTCCTGTCGTATCCTGATGTTTTAGATGGATCGATTTTGCCATTTGGATTCATGTGTGCGTAGGGGATGGTCGAGAGTAGTCATTCAAGTATGTAATCAATAAATGAAGCTTTTATTATCATACAGGTCACACAGAGTGAATGGAAGTCACTTAGAGCGAACAACCTCGGAAACGATGCTGATGTAGTTTTTCCGACACGACTAGAGACTATGCATTCGATGTCGAACAGAGAAGATCACATCTCTATTTCCACTCAGAGAAATTCACGGAGCCTTCCATGTCTCCTTCTTTGTACGTAGGCACCTGTTGTCGCGTTGAGTTCAAGGGATGATGAATCCTCAGAAGCCGAGGGCGGCTACTTACGACTTTCTTGAATCTTTTGAAATTGACAACCCCGTTACCAGGTGAGGATTGTGCGGCAGGGTTTAACTTTGAGTCCAATTTTGAGGCTTCTTCTTCTTCTTGCCAAAAGCGCTACCATTTGTAAATGACTGGAATTGTCAACACATCAAGCAAGCACCTTGTCTGAAGATCTCGAGTCATTGGCCTCCACATGTTCTTCTTGATGGCTAACTTCAATTTCGGGTAAAGGCATTCTGATGACCTCCTTTGCTTTCTGGTTTTTGACTTCTACAGAAATGATCGATTCACAGTTGATAGGAATGACGCATGCTTCTCTACCACTACCTTTCTTGCGTTCTTCTTTCTTTTTTCCCGGTCTCGACTTTGAAGGAACATCCTCGTACCACAATCGAGAATCTTTGACAGGAAGTATCTTTAAGTCGTTCACCTGATATCTCACTGTAAAAAGAAACAAATACATCAATGTTACACTTACATCAGCACTTATAATGGCATAAAAGATATGTATGACTTCGACCATAGAATTCACGTTGTTTGCTTTGAGGAATCGACTGATCGCAGGCAAATTTTCGTCGTCTTCCTCTTGTGCAATATAAACTGTATTTTTGCTGAGCAACAGGCAACAGCATCTCTCCACCTTCCAAAAATTCACCAGACTTCACATTTTTTCTCATACAATTTTTAAAGAACTTGCTCACATCTTGTGAATTACAAATCTGTACAATGCCTCCTGCTCTTGCGATCAGTGCCTTAATCTCTTTTCCCTGCCATTGGAGTGACTTTGCTTTTGTAATTTGAACAAACATACATTCAAAATTGAGCTTCTGTTGGATTCAATGTACAAGAATATCACATTATTGAAAATAGATCTTCGATTCAAGTTGAACTCTGGATTATGAGATTTGCCTGGGGCTAGAAATCTGTGAAATTGTAAAGGAATCTGAAATTGAATATCAGTTTGCAAATCGAAGCAGCTCAAGCAACGCAAGCACCATCTCTGAAATTTTGGGAATAAATAAATACTCATCCGAATCTGACTTTTGGAGTGGATCAGGAAATGGGTCGCTTAAATTTTCTCGATTGATCAGTGATTGAAGGTATGCTGGACTGAGAATATCTTTCTGGTCCACAAGTGCCCACAAAACCTGTTCAACATTTTTTTACATTCTGAGCAAGAAATTTATTGCCACGCACTTTTGATGTTATGTTGACTTCATTGACGATAAGCATACGAGTGTGAGACAACCAACTCTTTGCAACATGAAAACCTAAGCCGACATTACCGATTCAACTGGTATATGGCAGATTGAGTACCCAGGATCCGACAAGCTTTGTAAGCCTCTGCTTCAAGATGGCACAACCGCGAAAAGCAAACCACTACATGCTCTCGCTCGAGCCTCATCCGACTGTTGTTTACACCAAAAGTAATGCAACATCCTGCAAGAAAAATGAAGTTGTTAAACTTCGATTTCATACAAATCTATCACGGAAATACCGTGCTTGAGCTGTACTTCTTCATCGCGTTTTATTTTCCTTTCTCCAGGAAGACTCTGTAAAGTCTTTTCCCCTTCGCAATCAGCGTGCAACATGCAATCTAAGTACACTTACCGAGTCTAAACTCACTCCGAACTTTGAGATGTCACGGATAGAGATGAATTGTTCCTGAGACAAATCATCATTTACATTCTTCATCCAGTACAGCAAGATCAGAACATACAGTTTCCAAGTCGTTGTCTGGAATGAGCTCGTGAACTGAAATGACCTAAGAGTGGAACATCATGTTGGAAGGACCAAGCAGCAACCACTACCGCATGATTCCTTGAGATTGACCGATCTCCAGGAAGACTGATCCAGCCGCTGCAAGTTGAATCTGCAGGTCGGATGGGACTCCTTCCAATCTCGTGTGTTCCTAGTTGCATACATCCAAAGTAAGCTTCTTCCCCCACATTCTGCCCTCCCTCGTCTGAAATATATTTGCATTGAATTACCTGCAATCAAAAAATAAGTCTTATTCGGTCCGTTGTGCGGCTCTTCTATCAGCTTCCACATCGATCTGCCAAAACTGAAGCATAAGCAATAGATTTCAAAACAACATGTACAGCTCTCTCTGCTGATCAAAAACAGAACCGTCATGCAAAACGGTCTGAGCATCTGCTCTTGGGAATCGCCATCCCGAAACATTTCATTTTCTTGCTGAGCATCTGAGAACTTCAGATAACGTGTCTTCCTTCTTTGTAATGTTGATGTTGTCATGCACTCAAGCATCCTCCTCCTCCCAGTTTCCCTCTCCTCCTTGAACTCTCCCGCCATTCTGGTTTGTTGAAAATTGTCAGGACGGGGAGGAGGGTACACTCTTCACTGAACCCGTGGTACACAATATTGAAATCGGGGGTTCAATCACCAAGGGGTAGTGATGGGGGTACACCTACCCCCCCTCATCGCCTATTTCAGAACCCCATCAGCTCCTTTCTCACCAGGAATTTTTTTAAAACTCCAGACATGAATTACTCAACATGTTCCCACCCGGGGCCCGGCCCCGGGACCGTCCAGTGCGCGCCGGCATGGGTGCCGGGCGCGTTCGGCGGTGCCGGGCCGGAGCCAGCTACCAGTACTCCGGCGTGAGGCTACGGCGGGTATCATGGCAGCACTGACCGTACCCGACCCCCCCGGAGTCTAACTTGCCCCGGCGGCTCGCTGAACTTTACTCAAAGTTAAGTCGCTGAACCGTAAGGCGCGGCGAAAGAAGTTTTATAGATCGCAGAAATTCTTGTTACATCTCCAATATTTCTCCAGACGCGCCTTATGGGCGATTGAAAATCTTTTAGACCAGTTGGAGCAGTTGTCGGGAGAGAGACACACGTTGCCTTCCACGCAAGAGCAGGAGGATTTGTCGTGGCTCACTGCATCAGCTGCTGTCGTCCTCTCCCCTTCTTCCGCTTTTCCGTAGCCCACGAAAGCCTTGGAGACGTCAGTTGCATCAATCTTCTTGAGAGTTGCCATCCTCTTCCTCATCGCCGAGCAGGTCTCCTCATACTCTGCGTGCACACACCACTCGTTGCCAGCGATGCCAAGCTCTGCAAGCCTCTGCAGCTTCGTCAAGGCCAGCAGCTCAGAAGGGAGCGAGAGGAGGTTGAAACTGACGTCCAAAATCTGCAGGTTAACGAGCGGCTCCAGCTGAAACTCTTGTCCTGACACAAGAGAGTTGAGCATGCAATTCTGCATCTTTAAAGATCTCAGAGACGACAAGGCTCGCATGTCCTCGGCGGATGGCAGAGCTCTGATTTCATTGAAGGACACGTTGAGACAAACAAGCTTCGGCATCGTCTGGTCTGACAGGAGAGGGAGAGCATGCAGCCGGCAGCCGGAGAGATCGAGTCCTCGAATCCAGCTGAGCGCAAGACGGTGAAGGCTTGTGAAGAGATTAGAGCTCATGTCAAGATCAACCACCCTCGATGCAAGCTGCTGGCCGAATTGAAAGTCCTCCATGTCCAGTCCGCGGAGGGATACGCGCTCAAGGGGGAGGGATTGATCACGAGCAGCTATCGCCCTGCCAGGGGAAAGAAGGGAGGTCGGTCAGGGGTAACAACAGGAGAGAGGGAGGCTATCAAAGTGGAGGTGGCTGCTCACTTACCTGTCTATGACATCAGCATAGTGGATCGACTTGCACGGGGCAGCGCCAGTGCCCTCGTGAAGCTCCTTGATCAGATCTGAGGACGAAAAGGCAACCTGAAGATCATCAGGCACAGCAGGAACTTGAAGCTGCCGCATGCTTACAAAGCTCTGCTCCGATCGGACCAGCTTCAGCCTCTCCCAATTCTCGGCGAGGGTCAGAGAGCCTCCATAAGGAGAGCGATGATGCTTCCATGGATCATCAGGAGCGACGAAGTTTGAAATGTAGGCCGTTGTCGCGTCCTCCTCCTTGAGAACAAGCCATCAATGCATGACTTGAGCGTAAGGAATTGTCAGTATCCGGACCTTGTGGGGCTTGTTGGGTTGGCTACTCCCGCCGGGTTTTGATTGAGCGCCCTCCTTCCCCTTGCTTGCTTTCACCTTATTAGAGGCAAGTGCAGGCTTGGGTTTGGACGAGGACGTCGACAGTCCAGACAACAACTTTGTGGTCTTAGCCGCAGTATCCTTATCCTTTGATTCTTTGGAGGGATCTCGACTTGCTGTTGTCAAAGGGCATGAGAGGGCGATATAATCACTGCGAAACGTGTCTTACATGATATCTTCTTTGTGGGCTGTGCTTTGGATGCCATGTCTTGAGATGGATCAGATTTTACCGCAGTCCGGATGCAATCACATAGGATCTGCCTTTTTTCAACAATTGTTACAAGCTCAATCTTTTCACAATTGTTCTTCATCAGGGCATCACATCAAGCTCTTACTCCTCCCCTTTTTTCCCTTTACATGAACAAGTTTCATGTCGCGTTTCCTTTCTGGTGCTTTCCAGCATTTCAATTCATTTCCTAGGACCCTGTGGAGAAACCCTGGAAACGCCGTCTGCGTTCCTCCACTACTTTGTAACAAGTGACAGAGTCTTGAACTATTTCCTTCCCTTCCTTCTGATGATCTGATGATCGTCCCCTCCAACATTCTCTCTTCTACTGCTCCTCCCTCCTCTTGCTCTCCTGCCGCTCTCCGGTACTCCTGCATTGCACTGATCGCCAATCTTTGTTCTCGCAGTCCGACCACCCCATTTGTTCCTGATTGGTGACCACGGAAAGGGGGGGTATTGTTTGTGATACGGGTGGGGGTTACTACCCCCCAATGCTATTTGAAATACTCTCTTTCCTAAATAAGGGGGTACAGGAGGATTTCATGACAGAAGTAGGGTAGGGTATGATGGTATTTGGGTGGCCATGATAGTAATGGGGGTGAGAGGACACGAGTGGGGTGGGGTTCTAAATGGTGGGTACAAATATTTGAGAAAGAGCAGCGTGAGTAGATTGATAGGGTACAAGTCATATATCAATAGGGGTACATGAATCATGAAAAGACATTTGGGGGTAGGGTAGTGATATTTCAGGGGTAGAGGTGGGTAAGGTCACCCACCTTTGTTCGCAATGCTCGGTCGGGTGATGTGGGGCTGGGGCGTCATGGCGGGAATGTACGGATGCGTGCACATGATCGGATCAACTCTAGCACAGAGAGGAATCTTGACATCTTCCTCCTCGTCTTCTTCCTCCTCCTCTGCCACTCCTCAGAAACGAACAGCATCCTCAGGTCACAGTGGCAAAGCAGGCGAGGAGGCGGTACATACTCCGATTATCTTCCTTACCCCATGGATCAAAGTTCCTCTCAAGGCTCCAGGGATGCTTTTTGCTTCCTACCTCGCGTCTGCTGCCACAAAGGCACTCGCCTATCCCCAGACTTCTCCCATTAGCAAACTTCTGGGTGTGGGTGAATCTGTCGTCCTTGCAGCGGGTGTCGGCTTATTCAGCATCTCTGCTTATCTGTACTACTCCAGGTCTGCTATTCTCTTTGCTCGTATCCTCAGTGTCTTGAACTGGGATTGCTGCCTCGTTTTTCTTCATGATGGAAATGCATTTGCTCATGATACCTTCCTCTCTCCACCGCCCCCCCCGCCCCGCCCTCCTTAGCGTATTCGTCGTTCTTGCCCGTCTCCCCTCCCCCACCGTTCCACCAGCGTTGCTCATCTTCCTCTATTTGTTTTCCCTCTCTCCTTTTCCCCGTACCCACCGCGAGCCGTTCCACCACCATGCGCTTTTTCTGCCAACTGCTGACGACTCGACCAGTGTAAAGTACATGGTGGACGTCGGGACTCCAGTTCCCTATGGCTTTCAAGTGAAGACGCTGTGTACCAACGGACCCTTCCGGTACTTCAAGCATCCGATCTACACCGCGCTCTTTGGATGCTGTCTGGCGACACCTCTTGTGTTGGACTGCTCATGTAAGGACGTGAAGAGAAGGGATTGCAGCGAGGGCTGAGAGTCTCCTGGCAGGGTGCTTCATATCACCCGCCCTGTTCTGGGCCTATGTCTTCTGGTTTGTGGTCCCGCGAGAAGAGAAGTACATGAAGGACAAGTTCGGCAAGGAGTACGAGAATTTTTCAAACAGGTATCACGGATATGCTGTTTTTCATTTGACTGAGGCGGTTTGCTTTCCAGGTTCTCAACAATCCCTATCTTCTTTCAATGGTTTGCGAATTAGATGCGCGTAGGTTGCAAGGTGTGATTGATACTTGACGTGGTGAACAAGAAAATGACGCACATATTCCCTTCGGTTGGTGGCGATATTCATTTGCTACCCACATCTTTGTGGAGTTCTTGTACTTGCGTGATTACAAAAGCTCAGCCTGTTTGTTTCGTTTATCTCCCAAACAACAAGATACTCATATGCACCTAAGCATTTATAGAGGTTTTGCAAACAACCGCACAGATGATCACAACGACAGCAAAAACAATATCTACAAACAAGTCCAAGATGTTTTGTCGCTCATCAACCACTCAACCAGCAGAACCATCGGAATCGCTTTACAGAAAAAATGACCTGTCCTCTCCCTCCTCCACCTTCCTGTTCCAATAAGGAGGATAGTATACCACACCAGATAAAGTCTCATGCGTCCCTGTGACCGCCTTCCTTGGACTTTGCCACAAGACTTAGCAGGCTCGTCTTGAGAACTGTGAGCGCTGTCAAGTCTCCTTGCAGACTCTGCAAGCGCAGCTTCTCTAGCTCTTCCATCCTCTCCTTGAACGCCACCTCGACCTCCTTCGCAACGTCTGCCCTGGCTTCATCAACTGCTCCAGCACTGATCAGGTCTAGAAATTCAGCAGAGAGTAAACTACCGTCGGGCAGGTTTGTCGCGCTATCTCCTTGCGTTGATGTCTTAGCAGGGTGACTGTCGGCCTTCTCCTTAGCGACATCTGAACTTGCGTCTAGAAGATGACTGCCAATCTCAGCAAATGAGAAGGTATCCTTCTGCGAGGCTTGAGCATGAGCCTCGTTACTCTGTGCAGTGGTAGCCTCTGTCTTTATCTCCGCTTGCAAGTTGGGTTTTACAACCCGTTCCAATGAACTTTCTCCGTTTGCCTCGGAGATAAGGTCCGCATTAAGAGCTGTGTCATTCATATCCTTTAGAGTCTCTGACTCAACGTTGTGCTGGTTCAAAGGCGCTGGGTGATCATCAGTGAGGTCTGACGCTTGACCGACTCCTGTTGCCATGTGCGGTGCATTGATGGATGACCCAGGACTTGTATTAGCTGCGAACAAAAGAGCTCAGACCTGATATCACACAACCACATTGACTTACCTTGAGCAGTGTGGGGTTGTGCTGTGCCATTCATTTGAATGCCATCCAGACTGCCAGATTGGTGAAGTTTCGGAGCTTGCTGTGTGACTGCGGCAGAAGCAGTTTCTGGTTGAGATTTGGGTGTCTCAACAACAAAATTGGTATTCGATGAAGAGAAAGAAGAGCTTTGCCTCCAGCTCGCTGCAGCTGATGCCAGGACACTGCCCTCTTCGGGTGAAACCTCACCTATTTCAATCTTGAATTGTTGCACTACGCAGATAATCAAACACCAAAAAGTGAAATCAAAGGCAACTTGCCTGCTTTTTCAATTTCTTCTGTGAATTTGTTCACCAAGGTTGGAGGTAGTTCACATTTGTCAATCTCATCTACGCATACAACGTTGTCCTTGGCCAACAATTCTTGGACTAATTCCTGGGCAACCTCCTCGCATGAGTCATTGTCTGGGTCCATTGTGAACTCAATCAATTTATTCTTGCCTGCAGCACGTGTCAAAAAAATCGGTGTAGAGGTATGTTACATACCATCAATGTTCGCGTTGATCGTTATTTTCCCGGTGCCCTGATTGTCTTCATCACCACTACTTTCCATCGAATCGGGCTCTAGCTTAGTCATCTTGGTGCTAATGAGTTCCACATTCGGTGCAGGAGCCGAAGACAGCTGTGACGAGCCCCCTTCCCTGTTTCCAACCTCTTGCGGGAAAGCTTCAACATCTTGACTCATTTGTCGTTCAGTAGGGGACAAAAGGGGTGAGACCCCTTCTGAAAACTGTTGCGTTTGTCCATCCTTGGAAGTGATTGCGACTGGGTCCTCAAGATCTCGAAGGAAATCGTGTTCAAGAAGCTGAGACGCTGTCGGTCGATCCTCTTCTTTGGCAAGACACAACTCAATGAAGTGCTTCACAGCAACATTTTCCATCTTCAACAAGGCACGAGGAGGAATACCCTACATGAACGTCAATCTAATTTGAATGATATCAAGATTTGTGCCCTCCTTACCTGTGAAACCTTCTTAAAGATTTGAGCTGGGTTGGTGCATTCACTGTAGGGATATTCATCTGAAAATATCTCCAAGATGCACATTCCAAAAGCATAAATATCAACTTTTTCGTTGTATTGCTCTTCGTACAATTCAGGCGCCATGAATTCAGGAGTACCTGGGCACACACATGAGCATATGTCAAGGAGGTATAAGAAACGAAGGTGACAACATCAAATGCAATGCACGATGAAAAGACTTGCCTGTTACGGTAGCTGCATGAGTCTGAGACATCATGGTCGACAAGCCAAGGTCCCCAATCTTGACCTCTCCCAGATTTCCATTTATGAAAATGTTGTCACATTTGAGATCTCGATGAATAATCGGTCGGACAACCCAGTTTCCAGATCCCGGGGGGTCTTCAAATTTTACCTCTTCGTGCAAATACTTTAAAGCACTCAAAATTTGTTTGGACCATTTCCTGACCATCCTCAAATTCACCTTTCTTGCCTTGACAAAACTGCAAGACCAATCAGTCGCTAGTTTGCCAAGAGCAAACAAACCTCTTGAGAGTTCCCGAGGTCATCAGCTCGGTGATAAAGATAACCTGATGCTTCTCATGGTCCTCCCAGGAGTCATGAAACTGTATGATGTGCTTGTGATTCAGCCTCGAGAGCATAGTCACTTCGTCAATAAATTGCTTCTTTGCTTCTCCTTCCAGTTTTCCAATTTGGACCTGATTCCATGCCACTTCTAAGCCAGTGTCTGAGTCGAAAGCTTTGTACACCGTTTTGTAGGCACCTTGGCCCAACTGTTTGGTATACTGAGGTAGAGGAATATGGTCAAAGACTACATTGGAAAAAAGGAATGGCATACCCGTTGATACCGACCATCGGGGTCTGTTTCTACAACAATCTTTTCAGATGAGTCTTTCCCGCTGTCGTCCATCTTGACAATTTTCGGAACGCAACTTGAGAGTTTGGAACCACGAGAGTGACAATTCAATTGCAACGGGGTTTTAAGAGCTGAATCGCCTCTAGGATATGTGAGTTTTCAGACAAGTGCAACAGTGGCTGAAACTTGTACATGATCACTTGCACTTGCTGAATTCATGAGGAAAAAATGTCTCCTGATCTTCGACTTAAGCCTCTCCTCTTATCAAAATCAAAAGTTGATACAATCAAAGATTATTAATCAATGGCTGATTTGTCTCATCACAAGTCAGGTTAGGTCATCTTGTCCAATGCTGCGGAGGACGTTCCATGTAAAAGAAATCAGTCTTGCAGTTGACAAATCGCCGGGGATCTTATCAGTAAGAAGAACTCCCAAGTGCAAAACACATCTCCATCTCTTTAACCAGGAGGGTGAAGTTACATTCGTTGTGCCAAACAATCTCTTTGCTCTCACAAGAAAATTCTTACACCCCTCTCAGCCTCGCCCCGTCCGATCAATCGAAGGGTTTCCAACGAGCCAGTCGCTCTCAGCAGCAAACTCAGCCGTGAGAGATCAGAGGAGGCCAGGAGAGTGTGTGGGGATCAGGCTGAAGCTCTGACCGATGCTGTCTCCCGCGCATCTTCTCCTCCCCTGCACTGAACGCACCAGCCGCCTTCCAGCCCTGCCGCCATCGACGCAGACTGTTTACCCTCAAGCAAGGGGAGAGTATTTCCGCCGTTCCATCAGAGTGTCCATAACAATTTATCTAAGGAGGATCTTTGTTTTCCAATTTGAACTTTTACGAAACAATTTCAGTAATATTTTCAAATAAAGTTCAAATGAATGTCAATAAAGACCTTGACAGAAAATCATTTCCTTTATGATAACCCCCACCCTCAAATAATCATCAATTCCCCTAGGGGTACGGGTCAACGATGCACGGGTACCGAACATTTTAGTTTGTTGTACGATAATTCTGTTTTATAGATATAATTTGTACTATACATTTGTGTATATTTATTAAATTTTGTTATAGTTGACCATTTTGATCAATTAAATCTGTCCTTCTCCTTGTACAGAGCCTGTACAATGGATATGTATTGTACATATACTGAAGATTTATACTGTCGGTACGACGATGTGTACTAACAGATGTACCACTGTACCAGGCTGAAACTTGAAGCCTTGAAGCCGCCTCATTACCGTACGGTCGAACACCGTGACTCAGATGAGTTGAACGGTTTGCCAGAACGGGCCGGCCCGGCTCGGCCCGGCCGTGGCCGGGCACCACGGTCCGACGGTCGGACGCCGGACGGCTGACAGTTGATGGAACGTATGCCAGCCGTGCCAGTCAGATAGCGCCGAGTTAACAAAAACTCTCCTGTAAACCAAGACGACTTACGTGGCGAGGCGGCATGTAGTACGTGGGATGAAGAGGGGACTTTCCTAGCCGTCTTGCTAAGGTCCTCTCATGTCTGGATGCTTGGGTTTCACATCCTAGCATACAGTCTATCTCTCATGTGCTCCTCAATGCTGGTTTTTGTGTGCATTAAACTCGGTCTTGAGCAAAAACTGTCTTGTTACAACTAAGGTCGATGTGACGTCTGCGTGACTTTGGACTAGTACAAGTCTAACAAACTTGTATTCCGTCGGTTATGGGCCCCGATTACATGCTCAATCATGTTGATCTTATATTTGGTTAGTTGAATTGTTTACTGGAGTTTTTTCTTTCTTGGTATTGTTTTCCCGTTGCTGTTGAAAATTCATGCAAATTCTATCAAGCTTTACACATTCGGATGACTCCTCTCTTCAATCAGGCTCTCTTTCTAGCCGCAAGTTTAGGCCTCTCATCTCCGAGTCAGCCTCAATTTGTTTGATTGATCTTCGAATAGGAAAAACAAGCCTTTCCCCAGCCAGATTGGTCGGTCGAATATCTGCTTAACCGTGTGGAAACGCACTTGAAGCTGATTCGATTCTTATTTTTCTTGATCTTTGAGTAGGATCAAATGGAACTACCAGGAGATCTGGCGGAAGTTTTCATGTCATGGAGCTAGGCTGTGGCATGCATAACTGGAGCTACTTCTGGATCGGCGAACAAGGTACAACTGCACAACAATCTTCGAATGCCTTGAAACGGATGTTCCAATCTCGCGGCAGCAATCTCTGGTCACAAGTTCTTTACGGTTCAAAATTTATCTTTTGGTCTTCAAATGCCGGCGGGCACGCTCTCTCTCTCTCTCTCTCTGTTATCTGAACTCCGAAGTTCTCTCCTCAGACTCTCTTATCTTATCCTCCTTCTCTCGTCACTGACTTGCATCAGCTCGCCAGGCATCTCCCTTATCTCTGCACTGCACATCTAATAGCCCTGCATGAAAATCTTCTTCAGAATGGACTATCCTTGAATGGTTATTGCCCACTCAGCATGACTGTGAACTTGACGTTGTATCATCGTATCTTGACTTGGATCTGCTGACATTCTTGTTTGTGTGACTTTCTGACGTCCGATGTAACGTACTATTTCAGAAACTCGGGGGGAGGATGGAACGCATGCCAGCCGTGCCAGTCAGATAGCGCCGAGTTAACAAAAACTCTCCTGTAAACCAAGACGACTTACGTGGCGAGGCGGCATGTAGTACGTGGGATGAAGAGGGGACTTTCCTAGCCGTCTTGCTAAGGTCCTCTCATGTCTGGATGCTTGGGTTTCACATCCTAGCATACAGTCTATCTCTCATGTGCTCCTCAATGCTGGTTTTTGTGTGCATTAAACTCGGTCTTGAGCAAAAACTGTCTTGTTACAACTAAGGTCGATGTGACGTCTGCGTGACTTTGGACTAGTACAAGTCTAACAAACTTGTATTCCGTCGGTTATGGGCCCCGATTACATGCTCAATCATGTTGATCTTATATTTGGTTAGTTGAATTGTTTACTGGAGTTTTTTCTTTCTTGGTATTGTTTTCCCGTTGCTGTTGAAAATTCATGCAAATTCTATCAAGCTTTACACATTCGGATGACTCCTCTCTTCAATCAGGCTCTCTTTCTAGCCGCAAGTTTAGGCCTCTCATCTCAGCCTCAATTTGTTTGATTGATCTTCGAATAGGAAAAACAAGCCTTTCCCCAGCCAGATTGGTCGGTCGAATATCTGCTTAACCGTGTGGAAACGCACTTGAAGCTGATTCGATTCTTATTTTTCTTGATCTTTGAGTAGGATCAAATGGAACTACCAGGAGATCTGGCGGAAGTTTTCATGTCATGGAGCTAGGCTGTGGCATGCATAACTGGAGCTACTTCTGGATCGGCGAACAAGGTACAACTGCACAACAATCTTCGAATGCCTTGAAACGGATGTTCCAATCTCGCGGCAGCAATCTCTGGTCACAAGTTCTTTACGGTTCAAAATTTATCTTTTGGTCTTCAAATGCCGGCGGGCACGCTCTCTCTCTCTCTCTCTCTGTTATCTGAACTCCGAAGTTCTCTCCTCAGACTCTCTTATCTTATCCTCCTTCTCTCGTCACTGACTTGCATCAGCTCGCCAGGCATCTCCCTTATCTCTGCACTGCACATCTAATAGCCCTGCATGAAAATCTTCTTCAGAATGGACTATCCTTGAATGGTTATTGCCCACTCAGCATGACTGTGAACTTGACGTTGTATCATCGTATCTTGACTTGGATCTGCTGACATTCTTGTTTGTGTGACTTTCTGACGTCCGATGTAACGTACTATTTCAGAAACTCGGGGGGAGGATGGAACGTATGCCAGCCGTGCCAGTCAGATAGCGCCGAGTTAACAAAAACTCTCCTGTAAACCAAGACGACTTACGTGGCGAGGCGGCATGTAGTACGTGGGATGAAGAGGGGACTTTCCTAGCCGTCTTGCTAAGGTCCTCTCATGTCTGGATGCTTGGGTTTCACATCCTAGCATACAGTCTATCTCTCATGTGCTCCTCAATGCTGGTTTTTGTGTGCATTAAACTCGGTCTTGAGCAAAAACTGTCTTGTTACAACTAAGGTCGATGTGACGTCTGCGTGACTTTGGACTAGTACAAGTCTAACAAACTTGTATTCCGTCTACAGTGACTCACGGTGATCCGATCGGACTCGGACCGGTGAGCCCGGCCCCGGGCCGCCGGGCCGGGGCCCCGCCGGGCCGGCGGCCACCGTGCCAGGGCCCGGCGGCCTGAGCCCCGGCCGGTGACCTCACAGAGTCAGTGGGCCCGAGTCGGACCGTACTACGCCGTCCTACCGACGGTCACGGTCCGGGCCACCGTTGCCCCGCCGGCCCCTGGCAGTGAGTCTGCCGCGCGCCGCCTGGCCCCGGGCCGCGGGCCGGATCACACTGGTGACCTAGTAGGCTGCGGTGAGCGCTGCGGCAGTACTACCGTCTGTACCACGGCCCGGAGTCAGCGAACTGCCTCCCGGGCCCACCGCCAAGTCCGATCGGGAGGCGGCACTGACTGATGACGCGGCCTACTGCCAGTCACGGTAAATTCACAACCGTGACTAACAACGGTTCGTTAAAAAGATATTTTAATGCTATATCGTTTTTAGTTGAGAGGAGCGGCCCGGCCGGGTAAATCCTAATGACCGGTGAGTGGGAGGTGGCGTCTACTAGGATTGCCTCTATGTGCGAGGGTAGGGGTGTAGCGATAAGAAGTTGCAGGTTAAATTAAGAAATTAAGAGCACATTAACGAGTGAAATCATTGGATTACCTGGATTAATTCAAGGTGCTCTTGATTAAGATCAGGGTCTCCAGGAATTAAGAAATTACAAGGTGAGTCCCTCGATGCACGTGCAGGGGTTACAAGGGGTGTAGACCACGGGCGGTAGGGTTGTCATCCAAATTGTATTAGGTGGGCAAGGAAATCTGCCAACTTGCATTAGAATAATATATTAAAGAGGCTCACATAAAGTCACGTTTGGCGTATCTGTTGTAGTCAGCGATGGGGTCAGGTTGGATCACCCTACCCCTAGATTGATACTTCAATGCCCCAAGCTCCCAAACCTGTACCTCCAATCCGCTGCCTGCAAGTATCACCCCACCCCCTTGTTTCCCATGGAGTACCCTCCAAACTGTACCTTCACCTTCCCACTTCGCATCGCCTTTCAATCATCAAAAGCAAGGCTACAAACACCCACCTTCCGATCAAAATAGTACCCTAGTACCCCGAATTTTGCCTCGTGAAAGTACCGGTTTAAAGAGGATGGACCCCTACAATTCATCATCAATCTCGTGCACCCCTACCCCACACCCTCCGCCCTTCCCATGCGTTTTTTTCCACCACTTGCCCGCGCGCAGTGCCACAAAGCTCAGCATGCAACTTGTTCGGCTCCTGTAGCTGCTCCTCCATTTCGATCAAATGCATGCATGCATGCTAGCGAGCCTGTCTGCGACTCTTCTCATCTTTGTCAGTCTTTTGTTCCTCGTTTCTTATTCACTGCCTTGTCTTGAAGAATTCTTGTTTTCTTCGTGCTTCTTGTAGCACCCATCTTTTTCCATTGATTTTATGGGTTGTTGTATTACGTGCTCTTCGTTTGCCTCCTTTGCTTTTACAGCTTTCTCATCGTTTACGTTCTTTTTGCCCGAATTCTTATCTTTGCTGAATGGTATCAACAGGAATTATCCAAGATGAGTGCTGAAGAAGAGTCCAAGGCTCTCAAGAAGTCGTATTCCTTCGACAATGTCAAGTTCTCGGCCGTCGATCTTCACGAGGTCGATATGAAGGACATTGGTGCCATTCAGAAGGCAATGACGGCTCTTGCTTCTGAGATGCCTGCTGAAATGGCTCGTTTCACTGCTGATGACATGGCAAAGACGGTCAAGGCAGCGGGACCGAGATCAATGACCCAATCTGGAGCTCTTGAGAAGATTAAGACCATGATCGAAGACAACAAGACCAAGGAGAATGCCTTCATCGTGATCTCTTCTCTTGCTTCGGAGGCGGGTACTGTTGTTGAGCCCTTCATGGTATCGTTTCTTCCAGCTTGCTTAGAGGGAACTTCGCACAAAAAGAACGAAGTCAGGGCAGCGGCCGAAGATGCAGCTAGCGACATTGTAGACATGGTTTGCAGCTGGGGAGTCAAGGCAATGCTTCAAATGTTGATGGTAGGTGCCAAGGAGACCAAGTGGCAGACAAAAATGATCTCCCTGAGGCTTATTGGCAAATTGGCTGAGAAGCACCCTTACTCGTTTTCTCGTTGCTTGCATGAGGCTATCGCAGTGATCAGTGAAGGTATGTGGGATACAAAGAAGGACGTGAAAGAAGCAGCTGCTTCTGCTATGCAAGCAGCTTGCGACAGCGTCTCGAACCGTGACATTAAGCCTTTCGTTCCAGCTTTGATCAATGCCATCCAGAACCCGGAAGAGGTTCCCGAGACTGTTCACAAATTGTCTGCCACTGTTTTTGTGCAATCAGTCGATTCGCCAGCACTTTCCATCACGGTTCCTATTCTCTTGAGAGGCAGCACTGAAAAGAAGACAGAAATTAAGCGGAAAGTGTGCGTCATCGTCGACAACATGTCAAAGCTGATTGATGAGCACAGAGAGGCTAAACCTTTTTTGCCTGAACTCATGCCTGCTATTAAGCGTCTGTCGGATGAGATGTCTGATCCAGAGGCAAGGACTATGGCAAACAAGGCGCTCAAGACCTTGCAGAATCTTCAGGAAGCAATCGAAACCGAAGAAAGCGCCAAGTCGATGCCACCAGATGTATGCATGGCTGCACTTCTTGAAGTTCTTTCTGCGACTGTCCCAAGTGCCCCTCTGACTGAGAATACTTTCACTGCTTTCATGGAGTACATTGCAGTTGTTATTAGCTCTATGGCCTGCGATTTGTACTTCGATGAATTCGAATGGAAGTTCATCGCCGTTTGCCCATATCTTGCGCCTTTTATGCCGGAGCAAGATGCTGTCAATGTGTTCACAGCTCTTCATGCAAGGTGTTACAAGGAGGCTATGCCCAGAGATGCTGCTGAGGACGAAGAAGATGAAGGCGAAGACCTCTGTAACTGTGAGTTCTCACTTGGTTATGGTGCCAAAATCCTTCTCAACAACACTCGTCTTCATTTGAAACGGGGTAAGAGGTATGGTATCTGTGGCCACAATGGATGCGGCAAGTCAACCCTGATGCGAGCAATTGCGAACGGACAAGTTGACAACTTTCCTCCTCCAGAAGTTCTGAAAACTGTGTATGTTGAGCATGACATTCAGGGTGACCTTTCGGATTTAAACATCGTTGATTACGTCTGCAAGTTGGTTCCTGACCGCAGCAGAGACGAAATCGTTGCAAAGCTCGATGAATTCGGCTTCAAGGATGATGACAGCTCCCCTGCCTGGATTCGTGCAAACATTTCTGGCCTTTCTGGAGGTTGGAAGATGAAACTTGCGTTGTGCAGAGCTATTTTGATGAATGCAGACATTTTGCTTCTTGATGAGCCAACGAATCACTTGGATGTTAAGAACGTTGCTTGGCTCGAAAATTTCCTTGTCAGCCAGGACAAAGTGACGTCATTGATCATCACCCATGATTCTGGATTCTTGGATCGCGTTGTGACTCATATCATTCATTATGAGGACAATCGTAAGTTGAAAAATTACAAGGGCAATCTGTCCGCTTTTGTCAAGCGCGTTCCCAAGGCCAAGACCTACTACGAGTTGAGTGATGAGAACATCAGCTTCACCTTCCCTGAACCTGGTCTCCTTGACGGAATCAAGTCGAAGGGCAAGGCTATCATCAAGATGGACAAGTGCACATACCAATATCCAGGTAGAGACAAGCCGACTGTATCCGACATCACTCTCCAGGCATCTCTGTCATCGCGTGTTGCTGTGATTGGACCTAATGGCGCTGGAAAGTCCACCATCATCAAGATGTTCTGCGGTGAGACCAAGCCTACGTCGGGAATCGTATGGCGCCACCAGAACATGCGTATCGCTTATGTTGCCCAGCATGCATTCCATCACTTGGAGAACCACCTTGACCAGACGCCCAATGAGTACATCCAGTGGAGATATTCCTCGGGAGAAGATCGTGAAGCTAATGAGCAGGAAGGCAAGAAGCTTACTGAGCAAGAAGAAGCTGATCTTCAGAAAGTTCACGTCATCAGGAACGAGGATGGTACCGTGGAGAAGAAGATCGTTGAAGCCCTCCGCTCACGTCGCAAAACGAAACGTTCGTACGAATACGAAGTCAAGTGGTTGAACAAATCTGAGGAGCACAACTCCTGGATTGAGAGGGAAAAACTTGAGGAGATGGGATGGGCTAAGATGGTACAGAGGTTGGATCAGCAGGAGGCCTTGAGATTGGGTCTTGCCGCCCGTCCTTTGACCACCAAGTTCGTGGAGAAGCAGTTGGTCGACATGGGCCTGGAGGCTGAGTTTGCTACTCACTCTCGCATCCGAGGCTTGTCGGGAGGACAGAAGGTCAAGGTGGTGATCGCTGGTGCTATGTGGAACAATCCTCATATCCTGGTTATGGACGAGCCCACCAACTACCTCGACCGCGACTCCCTCGGGGCCTTGGCTGGAGCCATCCGCAAGTACGGAGGAGGCGTCGTTCTTATCTCCCACAACCGCGAATTCACCGAGGCTCTCTGCCCTGAGCGCTGGGTTGTTGAGAACGGCAGGCTTCTTAGGGAGGGAGAGGTTGCCGCTGATGAGAAGATTGACCTCAATGGCAATGCCACACCCGACGAGGTCACCGACTCGCTCGGCAACGTGATCAAGGTGAAGAAGGAGAAGAAGCTCACGGCCCGCGAGCAGAAGAAGCTCGAGAAGAAGAAGGCTCAGCGAAGAGCCGCCGGCCTCCCCTCCGACTCCGAGGAGGACGATTAAGTGTTGCATGCATGGACTGATTTCAGCATTGCTGTGTCGTTGGTTCTGTTTGGTTAAAGTAGCTGCTCGAGAAATACATCATAGCAAGTTCCAATGCTGTGTCGTCGCTTTGACTGAGTGCGAGCTCAGTCCTCACTTCAATGTCTCTGCAAGGGTAGTAAACATCTTCGTCCCCCACCCTCCTCCCCTCCATCTTGTTCTCACCGTCTCGACAATGTGACCACCAGCCTTGGCCATCTCAAAGAGACTTGCAAGCTCATCTTGTGCGCGAGAAGGAGCTGAAGCTGCGGCAGTCGGCGGTGCTGGGAAAAGGTGAAAAGGCGAAGTGGAAGAAGCTGCAGGACCTTCCTCCACCACCTCAACTCCTTCCACCATCTGTCTGCATGATATGCCCTTCCTCACAAGAGCGCGTTTGAGCCGCTGCAGATGGGCCCTTGCCTCCTCGACCTGTGAGATTTGGGGAATATGAGAGAAGCCTCGTCCATCTTGCTGTGCTACCTCCAGTCTCAGATCTTCCAGATCTTCGATTTTCTGCTTCCTTTGAAGGTCATATGACTCCTTCAGAGTTTGAAATATCTCCATCGCTGTTGCGTACTGCTCTCGGGTGCTAACATTGTTGTCAGAATACACGGCAGAATGGCAAGTTGCCCTGACCTTTCAAACTCCTCCGACTTTGCCTGTATCTCTTCCTCGCTGCTGCGAGTTCGAGAGATGGATGGGGTATAACTTCTTGTTCTGATGATTTTCGTGTTGTCGCTGGAGAAGCTGGAAGTGGTCCTCGGCACGGCCACCAGACTTTCAGACCTTGAGAAGAGATCGCGATGAGAGAACTTGATCCTGACGCTCCTTGCCTCCTCGTCAAACTTCAATCTCGGCCTGCAAGAGAGAGAGGTGACTCAAGTCGAGACAAGCCCCCGACAAAGCAACAAGTCATCGACCTGGAATATGTGACCTTGGAGACGAAAGGAATCTTCTGGATTTGGACGCAAACATCTCTGATGTCAACTAGCCGAACGGGTTTGCCTTCCCTGCCAACCACAATCACGTCTTGCTCTTGATTGTCTGCCCGTCCATGACGAAGTATCCCAGCATTGACTGAATACTTCCCGCCAGGCTTCGACAGCAAGAAATCTCGAAATTCAAGCGAGTCAGACTTGAGCTTGTCCAACTCAACATCTTGCAGTTCACAGAAGCAGTTGTAATAGGGCCAATACACCTCTTCATGCATCGCATTCAATGTCTCGTTTCTGCTTGCTCCTTCGCTCTCCGAGCTGTGTGCGGATGTAGTTCGGTTTGGGCGAGTGACTGCCATGCCGGGGAAGGTGTACGTCTCATCAGCCTTGGCCTTGGCTTGCATGGCAGAACGGCTGAAGGAGGAGCCGGACAGGGAGGAAGAGCGAGCAAAGGCTGACTTTCTCACCCAAGTTCTCGTCGGCTCTGCCTCTTCCCGTCTGCTCTCAGTGCTGGGGGCTGGTTGGGGTGACAAAGTCCAGCTGGACTCTGAATTTGAATCTTTATGCTTAGAGCCCGAGGCCATGTTGTCAACATCAGAAGCACTCAACGACCTCCCGATCTGCATCCCGTGACTTCGCTCTCTCTCATCGTGCTTTGAACGATGCCGCCCATCGCTCTGTTCTGAAGATCTCATAGATGGCTTGTCATGGAAAGAGTATCGAACATGTTTCTCCCTATCCTCCCTCGCCGACCGATAGCTCATCTACGACAACAGAGACTCAGAGGCAGATGTTTCTCGAGTACTACTCTCCCATCCTATCTCTGCTCTCCTCTCCCCTACCCCCTCTCTTTTCTCTTCTCACTGTTCTCTCTTCTCTCTTCTGCCCTACCCTCTCTCTTTTCTCTTCTATTTCTGATCTCTTCTCTCTTCTCTCTCCTCTCTCCTCTCTTCTCTCTACTCTCTACTCTCTTCTCTCTCCTCTCTTCTCTCTTCTCTCTCCTCTCTCCTCTCTTCTCTCTCCTCTCTTCTCTCTACTCTCTTCTCTCTTCTCTCTTCTCTCTCTTCTCTCTCCTCTCTTCTCTCTTCTCTCTTCTCTCTTCTCTCTGCTCTCTTCTCTCTTCTCTCTCTCGTCTCATTCCACCTCAAATCGCGGTTTCACGAAGGACAAACATCAAAGTCTTGACTACCCTAGGACCTCCACCCCTTCCATCCCCTTTAAAACTACCCCTTCTTTGTTTGCACTCTGAGATGGAACATGAGCGGGCGCAACAGAAGCCATGGTGAGAGGAGAAAGGAGGGAGGGAGGAAAAGGAGGAGACCAGTCAGGGAGAGAGAGGAGAAGCATGGTAGACGAGTGAAGAGGAGGAGAAGCATGGTAGACGAGGGAAGAGGGGCAGACTAGACCTCAGACTCGATATCAATCTCTTCCAAGAGTATGTAACTGGGTCTTGACTCCATGACAGGGGCTGATGTGGGAAGGAACTTGGCAGTCTTCATCATGCTTGTCTCGCACCTGAGGGAAACTCTTCAGTTCAGCACCATGACCATGACTCCCAAGTTGAAAAGCCTCTCTGCCGGATCATCGTCAAGATTGCTTGCAGGGAGGCCAACAAGAAGTTCTCACTTGAACACTTATGCGAGCTCATGGGATAGACCACACCTCAAACCAGAGCTCGAGAAACATATCAAGTATCTTACAGATCACGTCGTGACAGAGAGAGTCAGCTTCCTCACGAGTCAAGTCCATGCTCCGGTCATCAGGTTGAAAGATCGCTTCCTCGACAAGCACGGCGTCGAAGTGTATGTCAAACGAGAAGACATGATCGACCAACACATCTCAGGGAACAAGTGGAGGAAGCTCAAGTACAACATGTTGCATGCACTTTATTCCGGTCGTGAGGTAATTCTACAACCACATTGGAGGTCGCTCACCGAGTTACCCAGTGCATCATTACATTTGGAGGAGCTTTCTCGAATCACATAGCGGCAACAGCTGCGACTGCCAGCAAGTGTAAAATGTTGTCGAGATCCGTTGCTGGTGAGTGCGGCTGACGACAGTTTGTGAAACATAGGAAAGCTATCGGTATCATACGAGGAGAAGAGCTGTCGGAGCAGCCTCTGAACCCCACACTTGCTGCCGCCGCCGCCAACGGCATGATCTTCAAGTTCATCAACAGAGAAGAGTGATACGGGCGCAATGGAGCGATTGAAACACTCATGTTTGGGCAGATATCGCCTGTTAACAAGCAAGAGCGAAGATGTTCGCCTACATCCTGCTATTCGCGAGCTAGAGCTGGAGCATGGGCCATGTCGCAAACCTGAAACAACAGACGTGACGGTCGTGTAACTACTTGGCAGGCCATCTTGTTCCCGAGGGAGGAGCCAACTGGCTCGGAATGTACGGCTGTTCTGAAATCCTTCGGGACGTAGAACTTGCCTCGAGCTCGCATGATCTTCGTGAGTTTGACATCGTGTGCACTGCTTGTGGCACTGGATCAACCCTAGCGGGTCAGTGAAACGCATCTGCTCTCGTGGCATGAGGATGAAGGGAGTACTTTGCAGGAATGTCTCTTGCAGCAGCTCCCGAGAACAGACTGATCGGTTTCCCTGTGTTGAAGGGAGCACAGTTCTTAGAGAGCGACGTAGAGGAGCAGCTTCAGTGGTGAGCTTTTGCCCAATGTTGTTCTCCAAGTGAGTAGAGCTCTCGGCATGGCATGGCAGGTGGGTAGATGATGCCGCTTCTTTCCAAACGTGCAAGGACAAGATCACTTTCGATTTCAATGCTCACGGGGGTGGATATGGGAAGTACAACACGGGACTGCTCAGCTTCATCAGCACGTATAAGTTGTGAGATGCTGTTTCAGCATTTGATGACAGAGAGCAGGTTCTACGAGACCCATGGGATCAAGCTGGATCCTATCTACACGGGAAAGATGATGAAGGGCATCTACCAACTCATCCAACAAGGTCAAATCGCAGACTCTCGCGTGCTGGCGATCCACACGGGCGGGTTGCAAGGGATCGCAGGCGTGGAGCTCAAGACAGGAAAGAAGTTGTTCGACTCTTGAGCATGACGGGAGAAACATGCAGGAAGTGAGGAGGAGCGGTGTGCCGCACAAAAGGGATACGAGAGGCCTTGCTGAGAAGACGATTGTAAGATTTAGAAAGCGATTCGAAAGGAGGAGAGGGTAGAGAGGCTCATGGTACACAGCTGGACAAGGAGCTGGAGTAGCTCGCCTCATGATTCAGCTTGTTGATTGTCTTCGTCTACTTCCATGGCCTGTACCGCTAGATCGCCCTCCAGCTGCTCCAGGTGGTCCAACATGTTCTGCGCCTTGCCCTTCAGCACCTACAAGCCATGTGACTCGGAGAGGAGACTGGGAGGAGGAGACCTGCAACGCCTGCTTGAAGAGCTGGGCGGGTTTGATGATGCCTGTGCTCTCGATGGTGAAGATGAAATGGTCTTTCTTCCTCGCAAGACGAACGGCTAGCTCGTCGTCAGCAGGGGACGCAAGTCAGTCGGGTCCGCCTCACCTTTCGCCAGCTCCGGCTCTCTGATGCATTCACGGCACAGCGTGCAGTCTCTGACCTGCGATGCCATGAGGGGTGGTATGAGGGGCCAAGAGACAAGGGACGTGACAAACAAGACAAGAAGCACAAGGGCAGGAGTGCTGGATCAAGACAAGTCAACGTCAAAGCGATGACGATCAAGGACAACAGTCGATGACTATCAAGGACAACAGTCGAATTGAAGTGGCGACGGCACGTGCAATATCGAGGTAGATGAGGCCTGAGATACATTTGCGCATGAAACAACAACAAGGCCGAACCTTGTCCGACACAATGGCTCTTCGTCCTCCTGGGACTCCATGAGCTTCTTCGATATCGAAACAATCCATGGGGCATTTCTTGACCTAGCAAGCGCATGAGAACACTATACCTCGTCTCTTCTCTCTCTTCTCACCAGCGAGTCCGCAAGATCACCGGTCACCTCTTCAACGAGATCGATGCGCGGAAGAAGCCTATACCTGCACAGACCATTTCTTTTCAGTCCTCTGCCCTCGGCTCCCATTCTTTTCTCCCTCTCCCGAGCCTTCTCTTTTTCCTTCCTCTTCTCTCACCAGGCGGTGGCCACAGGTGACCACTTAGCATGTCCGCGGTCTCCGCAGTTGTTTCCTTTGTGGCAGTGCATTTCCATGTCCAGCTCCTGCAGTAATCATGCGCGTCACTCGAGGAGGAACCTCGTCGCGCAAGGGACTGAACCTGCCCGGGGCGCAGTCGGGTGATGAGGATGTCGTCGTGAACAGGAGCAGGAGGTGAGCTCTTGAAGGTTTCCTGCAGCCGCATCACCCCATGCACGCGAAGAGAGGATCGTCACACCGCTTGCTTGCCAATGGGGATCCACTCGAGCTGGGAGGAGAAGACCTGACTGACTGTGAGGAGGGGTTGTTGCAAGACAATTAAAGAAAACGACAGGGGAGGGAAGAAAGGAAAATGCTGCAGAGATGCACTAGCATGGGAAGAAGCATCGAGATCAGGAGGATCTGAATGCAAGACACGGAATTGAGCAACCAAACACATACAATCGAAATGACCAAAATGTGAAGAAACATAAGACTTCGAACAGATAAAGACGCAAGGCTTGCCACGAAAGAGCACCTTTCCGTTGATGGGCTCCTTGTCTGCGCTATCGTGTGGTGGTTTCTTGCACTTTACTTTCAGCTTGAACTTGATGACTTCCTTTTCCAACTTGTCAAGATTCGTTGTTTCATCCGCGCCCTTAGCTTCTGCAAGTTCAAACGAAAGATATCAACGAAACGATCCGGGGACGACAAGCAAGACAAGGGAAAACATCAAAGACCTGCAGATGGCCAAGAAAAGATTTCAGGATCCGCCATGATCGGTATCAATCCCAATCTCTGAGCTACCAGCTTTGAAAACAAACAAGTAATGTTAGGAGAAGAAACAGCAGAACAGAGAGGGCAAGTATTCCTCACTTCATCTCTCAACACTCCTGTGTTGTTATATACAAATACTTTCTCGATGGCCATTGTAGGAACCTGAGACAATAAGTGAAACTAGTCGCCACAGTGAGTTTTGCTGTACCTCTGCCAGAAGGACACGGCGGATAGAATTTGCAAGGGCCACTTCAATGCCAGAGAGGTCGAAGGACATCTTACAGCTCAATCAGCTCGTATCGCACGCCTTCTACTATCTTACCTGGTCCTCTTTGATCTCTAAAATTTTCATCTTCACTCTATCCCGCCATTTGTTGATGTCCAGCACCTCGTCCTCAGGGAATGTTCCAGGGGCTTCACGTAAGAGTCATTGATAGACGATGAATGAGAGATGCCCTACAATATGTGGTTGTGTGGGTTGGTGCGGTTCCATTGCAGATTACATACTCCTTGAAGAAACTGCGTAGATTTGGTTAGATCAATGGGTAACTAAGCCTAGTATCAATCCAAACCGTAGATCTGCACTCATCTTCTCGGACTTCATCATCGGCTGTTTCGATCCGGATTTAAGATCTGAGGCAGTGTAAGTGCAAACATGAACAATGCAAACCTCCTCGTCTTCCGCGCCTCCAACTCAACTGGTCCCTATCTGAACAATTCTACCCTCCTTTCCATGCCCTCCCCTCCCCTCCCCTCCCCAACTCGATGACACTACAATGCGTCAATGTGATGACCTCATCTAGTTGACCCAACAATGCGTCCATGCCATGATTTGGGCACGTGAGGTTGGCCCTCAAACTTTGAGATTTCAAACTTTGTGTATTTCATCGAAGCTGAAAGTTCTGAACTTGCCAACTTATTAGACTCAGTCTCGTTGGCGGCGCGGCCCGGAGTCCCCGGGCCTCCCCTCCCTTCTCCCCTCCCCGGGGGGCTGTCCGTACTGCCGTTCAACGGTTCGGTCCCCGGCCCGCCGCGCCACCGGGCGGTCGGCCCCGGGCGGGCCACCGGCGGGCCCAGTGACCGTACGGCCGGGCAAGAACCGCACCGTGACCTCCGTGGCGCGGTGACCGTACCGTTCCGTACCTCGGACCGCCGGTCACATCAGTAGTCAGTGGAGTATAACGCCAAGGGCAGCGCACATGATGGGTCGCTATCAGTGCTCTAGCTTCAAGCGCGGCCCACCGTGGCACGCGTCTAGGCAGGAGAAGCTACCTCGCTGCCCTCACTTGCACCTCAACTCAGCTTGTTGCTGTCAAACCAATAGGATGACATTGCGCCTCTCACCTTGAAGGCTTCACAAGCCAGTCGTCATGACGAGCGATATAAAAGACTCGGCGCGGACTTGCTATTTGTTTAGTTGTTCAACAAAGCTTCTGGCTCAATCTCTTGCTCTTGCCCTTGAATATCCTCCAGATTGAATTGTTACGCTGTAGAGTCATCACGGTCATTAAATAGAAGTGGACCAGACAATGTATACCAGCAGCGGCTCAGACAGGACGTTCCACACAAATCCTAGTGTCTTCCAGACAGTCATAGATAGAGGGAGCACGGAAGATCAAAAATCACATTAAGTTTGTCTGTTCGTTTCCAACACAACCTTCCCAATTTCTTTTCTTTCCGTTGGTTTCTCACCCAGTACAGCAAGCTTGATGTGCCCATGAACCTCTTCCCACCGGCGTGAGTTAAGAAGCAAAAGGGAGGAAGAAGACACGGAAACGAACCTTTGAAACAAGACAATGTCCCAGATGCATCTTGAAGAAGAGGAGCTCGCGGAAGAAAGATTCCCAAACGTGATCCTTCCATAACAATCATGGACATGTACATTCAGCAGCAGCACAAATCACACCTTCCAATTCCAAACAAATCCTATCTCCTCGAGCAACGATTGCTGCAAGTTGCATTGCTCAAAGATGGAAGGATCTCAACAGAGGTCTTCACACCTGCTTCTCAAGGAGCGCACCAGTCCGAAAAAGTCTGCGCAACCGCCAGACCCAAACCCCCAGCTCATTGTCCCAATGGTCCCATGCTCCCTGTAGCTGTGCTTTCCTTTTCGTCTCACCCAACTTCGGAGATCCCCGCCAGTGTTGCGGAACGTTGACATGTCCATGGATCTTGTGAAAGCGATCAAGGCAAACTCGTCTGGCGATTCTAGGTTGATACCATCCGAAAACGAAGAAGCCGCTGGTACTGGAATGAAAAAATGGCATCATCTGTAAAACTATATCAAACTTTGGAATAGATTCGAGGAAATAATACCTCCATGTTGAGCCCGCCATTGGAACCCAAGACTCAGAAGCAAATTGTATTTACGTCGATCGACCAAACCAGCTTGACACGTCAAAACAATTATGCCAACGTCCACATTTCAATGATCAATGTTTACCTTGATTCAGTTGTTGCAGCCTTTCGCTGCAAGACTGCAGCATTCCGTCTTCCAGGCCGGATTTTTTCATCCTGCTTTGTTTGTCATTGCTGACTCATGTACACCACTTCATGCAATCTTCTGCATATTACAAGCATCCGTGATGCAAGCGAGTTTTTAGAATAATGTCCATGAGCCTAGGCAAGTCTTCGGCTACCGCGGGTTGAATCTGGTAGGATCAACTCACCTCATCGCAACTCATTCTTACCAAATTCTGCACTCACGCTCTGCTGATGGTTGACCGACAAAGATCCACGGAAGCAGATGAGCATACCAAGACCGATGAAGATGGCATTGAAGAGGGACAACCACGTCCTCATCTTGCCATCTCCTCATTTTGTTTCAGCAGTCGCATGTAACCATGGCTACCACCACCATCTCAGTTCACCTACCGGGCCCCGGCCAGGCCCCGGCTGTGCTCCCCCGGACTTTCCAAAAATGGAAGGCAAACCGTTACACGAATCACCCCGTTCAATGGTAGTAGCACTTGTACCGGTTTACCACCCCTACCCCCAGAATTTTCAAGTTTCTGTACAGGCGGTACCCACCTACCCAATCCAGTCGCCCATGGACATGCTGGCTGCGGCAGGGTTCAGGGCAAGGAAGGTACGAGATCGTGCACGAGGGAAGAGCAAGCGTGAGGATTTAGAGGTGGAGGAAGAGCATAATGTCAGCAGCAAGAAATTGATTCTTGGCATCGACGTGCCATGTTCCGTCGTCGAGTATCACACAGAGGACAAGCTCCATAGACCCCGAGTGTTTGGAAAGAACAAGAACGTTCGTCTGCCTGCTCTTCAGCTACGCCGTTCGAATATCCCGTGAGCAAAATGCGTCTTTTCTGATGAATCTGATGTTCTTTTCCCCAGATTTGGCGGACTTGGGGTATTTGCAAAGGAAAGGATTGAGAAGGGAGCTTGGATCACGGAGTATGGAGGGGAAGTGATCGGTTGCAAGGAGGCCCGACAACGGAGAGCTAGCAGACAAGATACGCATATTCGCTCAATAGGGCGGGAAAACCTTTGCATAGACTCAAGGTTGAGGGGCAAATGGAATTTAGATTACTATGTTGGGTAATCGCTGTTAAGTGCGAGGTCCACGCTGATCTGTTTTTTTCTCTCAGAAATCATATGCTAGGAGGTTTTTTCAATGATGCATATGGAACACCATTCTCATTGAATTCTACGTATGGGCTTTCTAGTGGTGACTCTCTCGACTTTCTTGACTCTCTTTTCTTTCAGGTATGTTGAGGTGGAGGGGAAAGTTGGATTCCAACCACCGTAACACCATCGTTGCACAAGAGATGAAGAAATTGACGATGATGGTAGGTATGCGGGAGCCCCATACATATCAAAGAGAATCTTCCTTAGGGCAACGGCAGACATCGAGGCGGGCGAAGAGCTGTTTGTGTCTTACGGACAGACGTATCATGTACTGCATTTTAATCCAACACACGAACATTAAGCAAAGAATAGAAGTTATTTAGGCAAGGAACAGCATGCTATACAAAATTTTCTCAATATTTCCAAACGCATTGACTGTCGAGGAGATTGTTGTCGAAAGTGAACCCCATGACTTTACACGCGCTCCCTGTTGTCTTCGTGCAAAGATTGCTACTTGTGCAGTCACTGCAAGGTACTCCATTCCCAGAAGGTCCACAATATCCATCCCAGCTGCAACACGCAAACATGGCGCACACCTGCTGATCTGTGATGGACGTGCACCATTCCGTGACATTCGCCGAGTTGTCAAATACCACGATTGCGCTGTCGCTCCAGATCGTAGAGGAATTGATCAACATGGCAACCGGGGTGGTAAATGTCTCGTTCTGAACGGAGAAGTTGGAAAGATTCAGCTCAGACTGGACGAGATAGAATGCCAGGTTGTACAATCCCGCTTTCCAGCGTGAACTTTGCATGGACGCGTATGAGTTTTCGAGTCGCAAATCCGCTATGTAGGAATCCTGTGACGAGTCGAGGGTTACCCCGATCATTGCTAAGCTTGAGCTCATCATACTCAACGCGGAAGAGGAAGAAATAGAACATCGCTCAAGCACCACGTCGATCAAGGTCACACTGCTATGTGAGGCAAAGAGACAACCTGCCTCAGAAGCATTGCTACCGTTGCGGATAGTCAGGCCTTGAAGAGTCACCGTTGCATGATGGATCGTTGCGAAACTCGACTGAAGGTTGCAGTCAATCACTGTGTTTGCAGCTCCGTCTATCCCGACGATGGTGATGTTCCTTGAAAACCATGAGCCGCATACACCCTCGTACAAGCCTGGAGAAACATAGATTGTAGTTCCATCCAAGGCTTCTTCGACGAGCGCCCATGACCCAGCGCTTTTGATAGCAATATCTGAACAAACAGAGGCGGCTGCAGGGCAAGTGCAAATATAAGATCCGATCGTGTTTTCACATTGCCCCCTTCTGTTCTCGTACGTTAAGGTGAGCGGGTCCCACTGCTTGTACAAGTTGCATGCCGGGCCTAATGCACACTCGTTTATGTCCTCGCAAACTGCTTCCCCTCCTTGGTAGTACCCTGTTTGCATGTAGCCTTGCGCGCATTCAAACACATAATGCGAACCTCGGCATGCACAGCAAACTTGCCGTGGTCCAGGGCTGACCAACGAATCTGCATAAGGAATATTGCACCAGGGTGTCCACAAGGACAAATCTTGCATCCACGGACTGGAAACATCACTGTAAAAGATGGCACTGAAGCCGGTCGCGACATTCGAGAAATCAGAGATAAAAATCAATTTCAATGCTTTATGTCCCGGCAAAGTAGTGAATGAGCGTGCCGTATCGACCAAAATACCATCTTGTATGGTTATCAAAGTAGAATTGATACAGAGCGAATTTGGGCAAGAGAAAAGGAAAACACGATCAAATTCTGGTTCGGTTGTAAACTCGGTGAAATACAAACTGATTTGATTTGCTCCAACCGGGGCGATGATGAATTCGCATTCTTGGTTATTATTGTAGTCACCTTGACCATCTGTGATGGTCCCGGAGTCAGCGGTGATAATTCCTCCATTGAAACCACACTGGTATAATCTGGCCAAAGCTACAGCATTTTCTGTGTAATTTTGGCAGCCAAAGCCATTTGAGTCTCGCCATTCTAGATCGTCTACACATGACAAAGAATTTGAATTACCAGTGATGGATAGTTCAACCGGGGCATCGACCCTGCAAGAAGAATTTGACGAACATGTTTGACCCCATGCTGTTGAAGGTATACTGCAGGATATTGCAGTTTCAGAATACCACTGAACAGCCGAACAACTCGAGTCTCCAACCTTCAAGACTGGAGTAAAGTCATCCTTCCCAAAATTGTAACCAAAGACTGTGAGAACGTCAACAACGGAGTAGTTGCCAGGAAATACCTCGGTATACTTAAACCATACAGAAGAGTCGCCGTACAACGATTGCAGACCCCATACCAAGGGAGATTCATATGATAGAAATTGAGTAAGGCTGCCAACAACGGAACCAGAAGTGACAGCAACACGAAGTTGAGAGCCAGAGCCGTGTGAAACTTTACATTCAATTGACGATACTGACGACCATAGTGTACTTTCACATCCGGAGTGACCTACCCGTACAGAAAGAGAGGTGGCACCATCAGCACTACTCGAACCATACACAAAAAATGAGCTATCAGAAAAGAATCCAAAATTCACAGAAGAACTAGAGCTTATCAGCAAGATTCCAAAACTAAAAGATAGACTCTGACTTCCTGATGACCCTGCCGTCGTCACCGATATCCGCCCCGTCCCCCCGACCCCGCCTCCCCGCTGACACCGCACCGACGTCTCCGACTCCCACTCCGTCGCCTCGCACCCCGTGTGCCCTCCCCGCCCTGCCCCCGTGTACGTCCCGAGCCCCATGCCTCCCCCGTACACCGTCATGCTCGTCGACCCCGTCCCTGCCCCGTTCGCCCTCCCTGCCCCGCTCGCCCACCCCCCGTCGTAGCTCGCCCCCTCCGTCCCGCTCCCCCTAGCTCCGGCCGTCGTCACCGATATCCGCCCTGTCCCCCCGACCCCGCCTCCCCGCTGACACCG